TGCCCAGCGTTTCCAAGATATATTCCTGCATCTTTCAAAACAATCATGAATGCCACAAACTACTGAGGCATTTGCTGCAAACAAAGCAAGGCTGTAGGAAAAGAGACTAGAAAAGAGTGCTGAGGAGTCAGTTGTGGTAAAGGTGAGATGTGTCAGGCTCAGGGAGAAAGTGGCAGGCATTTACACTTCATGTTAAATGCCCTAAGTGTCTGGAATGCCACGCATACATATGGAGTGTTTCAACACTTGACAGTATCTGACATGACAGTGGATAATGTCACTTGGCTTGTGATGCAACTCCATGATCCACTCGGGAGGGTGACATTTATTCCAACCTGAAGGGAAATATTTTCAGACATAGGAGGCCAAAGTTAGCCACCTCCCTTTTGTATGCTAAGTAGACATCTTTCTGGAACAGAAGATGCCTGTCAAAGAATGTAACTTGTTGACTATTTCATGAGTTTGGGACTGGTCTCAGTAGGGACTGGTGAACAGAGCACTGTACCGTGAGTCAGGAGATCGAGCACATACATTCCCCTTTTAGCCTTGGTTTTCTTACCTGCTAAACAGAATGAATATTGTTATATTATCAGTGCATATAATCTTCGGGTCATCTGTGTTAGAAAGATAGACAATTGGTACCATATGGTCCCATTGTAGGGCGGTTAATACAAGGGAAAATACACCTGTGAGCTATCTGAGGCCTTTTTTAAAGGAACAGAACTTAAAAGAGTTGCAGGCTATCAGATGTGTTGGTTCTGTAGGCGATATCTTGCGTGAAAAGCTGTATGAAAGAGCCAGACATGATTACCTATTGAACTTTGCTTGGGAAGGGGCCAAAGTGAGCAGTTCATGTTTCGAACAGTGCTGTACGCACATTTGCACTAGTTGAAACGGCGTGGTTTGTGGCCTGATGCTATCCTGGCGCTTCAAATATGCACCCTAGCACTTCTCCAAACGTTACAACATTTGGGAGAATAGGTTCTGCTCTGGGACTTCTGAATTTCCATTTTGAATGTCTGTGTACATGTGGGAGATCTTACCTCCGTATGATCTCCTGTATTCTATGTATCCATTGTGCAAAGTGGCGAATGTAAAACATAGGTAGTAACTGTTGTTTTATTGGTTTTGTTGCAAAGCTGGTGTTATTTATATGATGCTTTTTCCTCCTATGTGGTTAGGCACAGCCTGTTGGTGGCAGAAATATGTCTTTGTTAAAAGCAGACGGACCAGAGTCAGGAAGGGATGTGGCTCAGTTGTCCCAAACCCTCTGCTTGGGTAGGAAACTGAAGGTAGTTTTAGGAGCAGCATCTCAGATTCATTTAAACACCATCCCAAGCCTCATCTGATTTTAGTGTTATAAAAGCCAATCAGGTAATTGTTTTAAGGTATAAGATGCCCCTAAGGGCTTTGCTCACTCAAATGTACTGAGGAATTAAATGCTCTCGGGCAGTGCAACTACTTCATTCACTCCAGTGTGGCAAGGCAAGGCAGTCATTGCTGGTAAATGGGCCCATGTTACAGTGACATTAGCATTTTAACGCAACTAAAGAGGAGGTAGATTGACTGTAATTTACTATCTAGTTGCATGGCCTTGTGCAGGTCCCCTCATCGCTGCTCCACAGGGGCTGATTATAGTTACACAGTGCACTTTGGAATGTAATTGGATTTACATGCAGTAATGTATTCGTGTTGCAGCAATGACTCTGCTATGCAAGCACTATGAAATTCCAGTGCAATTAGTTATTTATGTAGGAGCAATAGTTATAGGATAATTCATGGGGCTTGTGCTGACCTCCAGTTCAGGAGCAGCAAATGTTTTACTTTTTTCTGAAGTCATTGCAAGGGAATGATATTAATCCGATCCTGCTTCCACAGAGGTGTTTCTCCTCACCCTTCACCATAAAAGCACTAAATAATAAATGCTAGATAAAAATCCAGCAGGACATGACTTCTGTCTTCAGCTTCTCCTTTGGCTGAATGTACGTGCTGGCACATGTTTCAGTTCACAGAGTCACAGAATCATCTCGGTTGGAAAAGCCCTTGAAGCTCCTCCAGTCCAACCATGAACCTCACCCTGACCGTTCCCAACTCCACCAGATCCCTCAGCGCTGGGTCAGCCCGACTCTTCAACCCCTCCAGGGATGGGGACTCCCCCCCCTGCCCTGGGCAGCCCATTCCAATGCCTAACAACCCGTTCTGTAAAAAAATGCTTCCTAATGTCTAGTCCAAATCTAGTCTAAATCTTCCTAATATCTAGTTCCTCTAGATCCTGCAAATGTGTGAACAAAGGGGACTAGCAGCAGCTAGAGGCACTTGAGAAGCAGGACACCCATGGCCTTTCTGCACTAGTTAACATGTAGGAGACTGGAATTCTCCCAAAGACAGGCCTTTCTTCTCCATCTTGCACCCTCCATTCATTTCTTTTTTCACTTGCTACCTGTTGACTATATCAGCCTCTGTCTGCCCCCTCCCTCTCTGCTCTGGCTCTCCAGCTGTCTCGGTGCATGACACCAGTTGGAGCCACGAGTTTAGCTGCTTCTCCTTCATCAAAGCCTGCTCCTCACAAAGAGCTGCTCGAAAACCAGTGAATGTGAAGAAAAGCCAGTGCTCAGGGCAGAGACTTGATGTCCGTGGTGGCTATGAGATGAGCAAGGAGGCAGGGGAAGGGGCCAAGCGTGGCAGCGAGGCCCGCGGGCGCGCAGCTCCAAGGAAGGACGCTCGGCCTCCGCCGCTCCAGCTTCCACTGCGTTTCCCCAGCGACTGTAATTAAAGGCATCAGCTTGCTCCAGTCACAATTAGGCACGGTGGTTTTGTACTTTCTGCAATTCTCCCTAATGACAAAATCGTAGCTATTAACCAAAGAAAGTCTGTTTGGCAGGGACTTCCTCCCCTTTAGGGCCATAGAGTAAGATGGAGTATTGCTATTGTTTGGCACCAAACACACTCTTTCATCCCTTCTAACACAGCACCTGCTGGTACCTACTGAAGCATTTCAGCTCGCTCGCTCTCTCTGCGGTGCTGTAATTTCTTTAAAATATTGTGACTTAAGAGGAATAAAAAAATAAAATTCCTCTCCCACGCAGACCTTTGAGGGCTTGTAGGGATGTAATTATATGCACATGCCGTAGGAGCAGGAATCCTATCATTCTGGTTATTTTCCTAATGATAGGTTTATATAGCACAGTGTCATCTCTATTTCAGAGTTAGAGCCTTCTTCTCCTGGCAGCAGCTATCCCAGGATAGTGGCATCACAGGATGGGACAGCTGAAGAAATTGTCTCTCAACTGTTACATGCAAAACACAGGATGAAGTGTTCCCCACACACAAAAGAAAAAAAAAAGAAGGTAGGGGTGGACACTGGGCTCTGACTGTCTAAAAGGGTGTCTCTACTGTGAGGCAGTGACGCTGTCTTACCCTAGCTGTAGACACTCCAAGCCCTTCTCCAGAGGTCACTGCGCCTGCTGCAGCCATCTCCCGGGTGGTCACATCGCACCCTCTGAACTTCCACACGGGTGGCAGAGCTGTGCTGATCTGGGACAGCCTTCGTTCATACGCAGCGTTGTAAAGTGGGGCAATTCAGCCGCCGGTCAGCAGATGCCTTCCCTACGTTGCAGCAGAGATGGGTTGATTTGCTATTGATGATTTGCTATTGATGTTTGTACCCTCCAGATTTCAAAAGGGAAGCCATCCCTACTCATCATTCAGAGATGTAGGTCCACAGTGACAGAGGAAGGACATTAAATGTGAGGGATTCATGCAAAACAAAAAGTCTATGAATATTCATTATATGTTTTATATTGTAATAGTTTCAGCCACCTTGAAACTCTTTGTTCGCTTCCTGCCAGCAACAAACGATAGACTTTTACTCACAGAAGTCTTAATGGGAGGCAATTTTCAAAGGCGCATTCACAAATGTTTGTGGGAAACAGATGTTGAATGCACCCCCTCCAGAAATCGTGATGAAACGCGAGCAGTGAGAGAGCAGGGTGACTTATCTGATCCCTCGCAGGGAAGCGGTGGTTTCAGCAACGCTGCGAGTATTCCAGAAGGATTTGCGGAGGGTGAGTGAGTGACAGCATCGAGCAACCCGCTGTGAATATTGGACCCTTATGGCATGGGATGTGTTTGAATAGTTAAAGGCTGTCCTTTCCCCACAGGCCCCACAGTGCGGGGTTGGGGCTGTGTTGGATGGGTGGAAAAAACAACCCCGATGAAGGTGCCCTGAGAAAGCAACAGTCAACCAGGCGTGCTTTGCACATTAGTCTGTAGTCTCACCTCACCTTTGCCTAGCCAAAGACTGTCATTAGCGTTGTGCAGGCAGAAATTAAAATTTACCGAGAAAACTGTAAGTGTTAGCTCAAGGGCAGTGGCAGTCTGTACCTGGGTCCCTCTGCCTGCACTGGTTTATCTAATGCCTTTGGGCAGGCAGCACAGTGGCCTCACCACTCCTCTCTGCTGCTGCTTCCCAGGCAGTGACAGTGAGGCAGAGGGAGAGCAAACACTTTGCTCAACTTGGCGTGAGAGCTGCCTGGAAGAACGAGGGATATGGCCCAGCGTCTCAGGCTGCTGCTCCTAACGGCCAGGCTGGGCTTCCCAAAGATGCATTCCATCTCCTTCCCTCTGCCTTTTCCATTTTCCTGGTAAATGGGCTGTAAAGTCACAGCAGATTAAAGTTTGTCTAAACCTCCTGTAAAATATTGAAGGTGCAGCTGGTATTAATCTAGTCCTGTTGTGGTATGAGGTGCATGTGTATTGGGACTATAGATTTACATGTGGTCTGTGGGCATTTAAAACACCCCAAAGGTTATTAAAGAGATTCTGAGGAACTGGATCCCTCACTGAGTATTAAAAGCTCTTCATTAGTGCTAATGTACACTAAATTAAGGTGGCAATTAGACTGAGCATATTCATCAGGATGGTGTGTTTTAATAAATTGTGTATTTAACATGATTGCATTTTATTGACTTCTGCAGTAATTGCATATTTTTCTCTTACAGGACAAGCTTGGCTAGCAAGAGATACATGGGACACACAGACAATTAAAGACTAGAATAGACACTGTGCTTCAAGTCCCAAGATTTGTGAAGGTGAGCCTTGTTTATAGCTCGCTCTTTCTGCATGCCAGATGCTTTCTCTGTACCTCTGTCAAGGCTGGATAGGTATAGCCATGGTGTGCAGGAGGTGGGTAAGAAAAACACAACTCATCTGCCATCATGTCATCTGTGGGGTGTACTGCTGCAAGTTGTCCCCCTTTGGTCTCCTAATTAAACTGCCCCCATCTCTGTTCTATACAGAGAAGCAGACTGTGTGGAAATAAGTACTCAGAGGGTTTTCTGGAAGGCACCACATGTTAGATTGTTCTCTTAACAGACCCCACGACTTTGGTTTGAAGGAGTTGGATGCTGCTTGCAGATAATGAACACAGAAATCCCCTTGGGAGAGGGGTACTCCATGAAGGAAGGAAGCATGCTGAGCCAAGGCTCCATACCTGCAAGCCAAAGGGTGGGCTGCCATGTTGCTGGAGAGATGACACAATGCCCAGGTTGCCAGCTCCCACCTTAGAGCTTCAGGAACATTTCTAGTGATACCTCAGCTGGGACAGCCTCTAGAAATTGATGCGTTGACTTGGTCCCCATGTTATAATTCCTTTAAAGGCTGTCTGATAGTGGGTTTGGAGAGCTTCAAACATGTCTTCTGCTTTTACTTGGTTGCATTGGGCATCAGTATGAAAGTGGGTGTGAGTTAGCATCATTTGCTCCTCAAGCTGTTGGCTAAAATTTTGTAGGAGGTACTGCAGAACTGGTTCTCAGGTTTTAAAGGAATCAACGTCTTCATGCATATTGATGGCAAGGAGACATTTACATCTGAAAAGAAGAGATAGATGGACAACATGATGGAGGAGAAGTGACTGAACAAGTGGTTTGCATGAGGGTTGGACAAAGTGACTTTGAGATGTCTCTTCCAGTCTTGGTTATTCTGTGTTTCTTTTTTAAGTATTCGAGACAGGGAGACTGTGATAAGCCATCAGGGAGGTGCACAATGTCTGAATTTTATGTAGTGAAATACAAATAGTCTGCAGAACTATGTTAGGCGTGGGTTTACGTGGTTGGAATGATAGGCAAGGAAAATGGTTTACACACTTGTTTTCAGCAGAGGGTATGAGTGGCATGATATGGAAGATGCAAGGATTGAGACTGGTGAAGATAAGGTGCTCCTGAGAGTTCTGATAGACTAGCACATCCGAAGGATGCTCTTTATTGCTTGGACAACTGTTTTGAAGAATCTTTTCACAAGGAGAGTGGTCAAACATTGGAAGAGGTGCCCAGGGAGACTGGTGAATCTCAGTCCTTGGAGATACTCAAAACTTAAATAATGACAACAGGTTGCTCAGGGTCAAACTTTGAAGTTGGTTCAAACTTTGGAATTGGCCCAGGTTGGAAGCAGTGAGTGTTTGTACTCCGCAGCATCCAGAGGTCCTGTCCAAACTTAAGTTTTTCAGTGATTCCATCTCCAAGGCAAGGCTAAAGGGACAACTGAAGTGAAACCGCAGGTTTCAATCCAGTGTGAGAGCGACCAAGGGATAGATGGAAATGTCAGTGGTAGCAAAGAGAAACTTGGAAGCAGTTTTTGGGGCTGTGGTTGAGAGGCTGCCTTTAGATATGTGAAGTTCAAGGTAGCTGCAAGCATGCAAAACCAAATGTCAGAAGGAAGGAAATAAATGGTGACTGGAGAACAAAAAAAATGCATTGCCTTGAAAAACTAGACTTTATTTCTAACTGATTGCAGCAGCTGGGATATGTTTCCTGGCTACACTGCCTGGGGATTTTTAGCCTCCCCATCACTTTGCAGATAAAATTTGTATTAGGGTGGGAGAAGCGTAGAATAGTCTGCCTAAGAAAAAAACGAACATTTATAGCTACATTTCAGACAAAAACAAATGCATCTCATATGTCTCACAGGTCTGAGATGGGAGAAGCCAGGGAAAGCATCTGTCAGCCGCTGTCTCCTGCAGTTCTGACTCTTAATATTTACTTAGCGTTAAATGTCTCCTGCAGAGTAGAACTTAATCTGTCACAAATTTGGGGCCTGGAGGAGGGAAGAGAAGATATATTTAAAAGGCAGATTAAGACATATGCGTTCAGTTTTTATCACACTTGCATCAGTGCGTAGTAGGAGTAACTTATAAAATTTGCCTTTTGTGTGTATGGCTTAAAAAGAAAAGTGGTAGGAAAAAGCAGCTCTGTGGGACAGGAATGTCCTTTCATGTCAGTTATTTTTTCCATGCCGGCTGTCATCAGGGACTTTCAGGTACCTTCAGCTAATTAGTAAGGCAGCAGTTGGCACAAATGGTTTCATAATTACATTATTTGTAAGTAACTTTATTTGCATTTTGCTTGCACTGTTTGTAAATAGCATTAGTTATATGCTCTTCAAAGTCTAGAGCACTACTGCATATATCAGCTAGACAGTAATACAGTTCATACATGCTGCAGTGCTTGAGCTCTGACGTGAAACACTTTTAAGTGCTACATAAGAGGGCCAGGTCATGCTTTTGGTTGATTTGCTGTGTTTTAATCAGTGCAATCACAGGATCCAAATGGTGATCTTGCATGTGCTGTTTGGGAATCTGGGTACCCCATAGAAACTGGGAAGGGTGTGTTATGCTGGTACATGCGGGTCTCTCCAAGCTCGAAGTTCCAGCACTGAAACAGTTGCTCACAGCTCCTGTTTCTCAGATCAGATCGGTGGGTTGGCATTTTTTGGAAGTTTGCATTAAGCTCTTACAATGTGGAGGCTCTGACATGCTCTGTTCTTGGCCATGCCAGCCCAGACCTCCTACTGTTGCCGCTGACTCCCATTTGCACATCCTGAGTTGAAGGGCTTTTGATTTCTAAGCCCCACTTGGTGTGTTCCTGGCTTGAAGCACAGCACGATTAGTAGGGTTGCGCTTAGTTATTGCTTTGCTGTGTGAAGCGTGGTGGGTTTAGAAATTGCAGATCTGAGCCCAGCACCACCACTAGGGACAATTCCTCACCCAGGCAAACAAGGGAGTCCTCATGTGTCAAAGCTGAGTGCCCGTGTGTTCACATTGCTCCCAGGTTACTGACTGCGTGGCCCTGCCAGTGAAGTTTTCAGGACCTGATTGCTCAACAGATTAAGAGTCTCCCTTCCCTGCTCATACGTCTTAACATACGGAGCAGATGCACCAGCAGGAGCAATGCAAGGAGTCGTAGCTTAGGTTTGTCTTTGAAAAGAAAAGGAGGCCTGTACTCAGCTTGTGTAAATTGGAGTGGTTGCAAGGGAACCTGCTCATCTTGCAGAGAAAGCAGACCCAGAGATGGAAAGTAAAGTAAGGTGGGACTGTGATTTATCAACTCTACAAAGCAGCAGGACAGCTCAGGAGCTGCTGCTTCTTGGTCAACAGGCAATGTTTTTCTTGTGGGTGTCTCTGGAGAGAGGTGAGTGTGAATGATGTGAAGTGGCACAATAAGGCTAAACTGGTTTGCTTTTTATTCCTTTTTTGCCTAAGGCTACTATGATATGGGGAGTGCTCAAGTCAGCAGGACTTAGAAGTTTCTCAGATAACTCTCAGACTTTGGCTAATATACTGAAATTAAGCCATCCTTTGTTTCACTGGAGCATAAATTTTTTGTGTGCTGATGGGAACATCTGGATGCCACTAACTGTGGGGCTCTTGAAGTTTCAGTATCCTATTGATTTGCCTGTATTTTCATATCCCTCTTTACTATAGTGTCCAAGCTCATGGTTTAGTGGAGCTGAAGATTCACCATAAACCATAAAACTGAACAATTTCCTCCCCAGCTCCTTACCCTTTTGGACTTCAAGATCTCCTTTCTCTGTGAGATTTGCAGACATGGCTTTAAACATCATCAGGAAGCTGTGAGCATCTCCTCCAGGCCCACATCAAAGCTCTGTGCCCTACTCCATCTCCTGCAGTCATGCGTGGTCTTGGCTTTGAGTCTCTCTGGGCAGAACAGTTGTGTTTCAGAAGTATAAGAAAATAAACTTTGCAAAGAAAAATATTGCCCTCGTTCTCAGGTTCAAATTCAGGTTCGTGTTTCTCCAGAAGTGAGGTAGACTCTAAGACTGGCTTTTTGGGTCTTCTTGAGATTCTTCTAGCAGAAGGGATTCCCTGGGCAGTACCCAGACAGCAGAGACACGCTGATGTCCTGCCCCAGGTATGTGAAGACGCAGGGGGAAAGTAGCTATGTGTCTCCATGAGCTTCCGCATCACACCATTTGTGTGTCTGCCTGTTTTGCCACTAGGAAGGAACTGATTTGATTTTTAAACCAAGTGAAGGAAGTGCAGCAAACACCCACTGTATGATAAAAATCTGGCTCTTACCTCAAGCAACCCCTTGCTGGGAGCTCTGCCTGCCATGGGCTTTCTAAGGTCTTTGGCTGAAGCACAACAGTTCCCATGGTCATGGAGGGAAGCACCCCACAAGGCTCTACAGCACTCCCAAGTTTTGTGGTTTAACAAAAGCAACGAGGGAGTGGAAGAGAGTTTTGTTTCTGGCCTGGTGAAAACCTTGGATAATTCACTTTTTTTTCTTTTTAAGTGAATTGAATGTACTTTGCTAACATAACATATCACTGGAGGCAGGTCTGTTTAGGGAATGGCATTTGCAGTGGAAAAGGGGAAAGAGATGGGTTAAGAAGCACATGGGCTTTGGGAAGGCTTTTCTGGGGAGCTAAGCAAAAGTGTGCCTCTGTGTTTGCATACGTATGCATCCATCTGTGCACGGTGCCATGACTGCATTATCTTCTGTTTCAGTGAAAGTTTTACTGGTTTATGTCTTTATTTGTCTATCCCTCTAGGGTACTTGGTGATATAATTGCATATTGGGAAAGACACTTCATTAAACAGCAAGCAGAAACCTTATTCCAGTGTAGCTTTACCTGGTCAGGATTTATAGCTGCTCTTCCAATAACTGTCTTAAGCAGTTTGTTGTCTAATTCAGAAATGGAGTTTCAAAACTGGTTAAAATTCCTTAGCATTTCTTCCTGGTCTTAAAAGCTTACCAACGTTGATCTGTGGGCTCTGCCTGCAGAAGACCTGTGCAGGGTGGGGTATAGAGCACCAGGACTTCACTGGCACAGTAACATTTCACATTACACAACAAGCAAAAATTGTGACCCGGGCTGAGTACAGCGTGAGGACAGTATTCTCAGGCCCCGGCATGTCCACACACTGCAGTCATTCTCAGCCCAGCTCCTCCAAACATCTACCAGTTTCCCTGAAAATGTTGTTGCTGTGTGTGTGGCATTCAGTCTGTGGAGAAAGCTTGGATGGAGCTAACCATCCCAAATGCTTGCTTGTGAGTCTCTGAAACGGGCACAGCTTATTCTGGCTCCTGTGTTGATAGGACCTTTTTTTGGCGTGGAGTAGGCAGGTACATTCAGTGCTTCTTAGACTTGACAGGCTTTAGGGACTGGGAAAAAAAAAATCTTCGTGTGCAGAGGGATATTTTTTCCCCTAGAATCTCACTCTGCAAGCAAAGCTAGATCTTTCCTCTCCTGCAACCTTCCTCTTCACATCTGCGTTTGCCGTTAGACTTGTAAGAATGCAAAGGGACTTAGCAGTGATCATTATCTCTTACTAGTCTGCACTACGTTGCCTTCTTCAGGTAAGAAACTAGCTTTTCTGTATAATGAACTCTGCAGGATCTTGGGGGAAATACAAATGGAAATAGGATTGTGTCACTCCAATAAAAAATGAGTGTGCTGAGGAAGTGCTGGTGTTTTGCAGGAAGGTTTGGATCAAGGAGCCTGAAGACCATGGAGGGAGACTGTCTGAGCTGCATGAAGTACCTGATGTTTCTTTTCAATTTCTTTATATTTGTAAGTATTTAGAATCCACTTTCTCTCCTGAATCCTCCTGTTTCCAGCAGCCTGCTGCTCCCCATCAGAATAGGCTGTAATTTGGTAAAGGTGCCATGATACAGAATATTCCCTCAGCTTTGCACTAGCAATCACTGAGGGCTTTGCAGCATCCAACGATGCTCAGATATTCAGTAAGCCAGCACAGTGGTCACTGTTGTCTGACTTATTCCTGTCTTTGACAGGGGAGACCAGCTGCAACTAGTGGTGTACATGGTCTATCCTTGAAGGGCAAAATAAATTGTTTTCTAGCCCTGGATGCCCTGGCTGAGGTTTCACTAGGAAACACAGTCATTTTCCTACCACATGCAGGGTCATTCTCAGTGACCCTGTTGCTCTTGCCTTTGATAGGAAGGGTAGGAGCACCCAGCCACCCCGGCCTCTGTGGCGGGGATGGTTCCACGTGCCCCTTCACTGGGCTGTCCCCTACAGATGTGGCAGCAGCTCAAGACTCGGTCTTTCAGCATTAGGGAGGGCATAAACAGTTACTAGAGTGACACGTGCAGGAAGAAAGGTGCTTTGGCTACAAATGGTTCATTTGGTGAGCAAGCGATACTCAGAGTACCGTCTCAGCAGTCACCTGCTCAGCGGAGAATATATGCTATGGAGAAACACAGATATTCCAAGTGAAACCCTTTGATCAAAAGGTAGCAACGAGTCCAGTTTTTCTGCAGCAGTTGTTTTATGTTGACCTACCCCCTTCTCTCCCCTCCTTGTGTCGTGACAGCTGGGAGGAGCATGCCTACTGGGAGTTGGCATCTGGGTCATTGTGGATCCCACAGGTTTCCGAGAGATAGTGGCTGCCAACCCCCTGCTCTTCACAGGAGCGTACATCATGCTGGCCATGGGAGCGATGCTCTTTCTGCTGGGTTTCCTTGGTTGCTGTGGTGCCATCCGTGAGAACAAATGCCTCCTGCTTTTTGTAAGTGTTCTTGCTTTTCCTATTGGCCTTGTGATGCTTCCCAAGAATGGAAGTGACTGGATAGATGGATGCTGTGAGTGAGTGTCTGTTGTTGTAGCCATTATTCCCTTAGATAATAAACAGACTTAGTGTACTTTTACACACAGCTAGAAATACAGAGAATTTGCGTTTTCCCTATACTTAATTTGAGCCCAGTGGGTATGGAGTCTGGGAGTGTATTTGGATCTTGTTAAGCTTTGTTTCAGAATGGTCCTATTTGGTTGTTTGGTTTTGGTTTTTTCACTTTTACAAAGTGACCAAAAATGGTCCTCTTTCAGCCACCCAAAACCCACTGCTCCACTTGTGGACACGTTCCCCAGTGGTACACAACAAAGCAGAGGGAATATGTAGAGCAAAGCATCTGTGTAACAAAGCTCCCCATGTCAGCAGAAATGCCCATCTCAGAACTGCATGGTGGCCTGTCATTGCAGCTCTCGACAGCTCGTCACTCCCTTATGCAGCCTACTCTCCTCCTAAAATGAACCAGATTTGTCATCCTGGGTCAAATTTTCCCCTGAATGATAGGGTTAAATTTTAGCCTGTGTGGTCAAGTACTATTTGCAAAGAGCTGGCCTCTAAAATAAGTCAGTTCTGACCTCTGCCATAAGTTCTGATACTGCAGGGTTTCCAGCCATTATCTCCTACTGGATGGCATTACCAGTTATGTATTGAAAGACAAAGATCATTAGTTTTATTTTTCATTTTTGTCAAATGTGACCTTTTCTTTCTTCCTCTGGCTCTGTTGGGGCTTTGCTGTTTTTTGTTTTGTTGGGGTTTTATTATAATCTTTATCTCATGGTGTTTTGTTATGATTCTGTCTTGCACAGCTGCTTCATGGTGCAGAAGAAGCTTGTCTAAATAGAACAGGAAAGTCCTCTTTCTTGAATGCAAAACCATTTTGTCCTAGAGATGAGCATGACTACACTGAGATAAATTCTCTTGGGCCCTTGGCTCACCCACCCCCTGAATTCATAACCTGCAAATGAGAGCCCTTTTCTGGAAGCCACTGTGGATTTGATTTCTAGTGACTCACCTCAGAATTAAATCAGAAAATCAAATGTGTCACCTGTGAAATCATGGAGATCTGCTCAGAGAAACCTAATAAATTGCAAAAGATCAGGCCCAATGAACCTGAGGTTACTTAAAAGCCTGTCTTTGTCACATTAAAAAAACTAAAAGTTATGTTTGATGAGAAATATTGATTGTAAGTGTATGCGGGAGTAATATTTTCGGTTTGGATCATGTCCACGGCATACAAATTGGGGCCCTGCCTGTGGGAAGGGAGCTCTGGGCCATGCTTTTTCCGGATTTAATATCACAGATTACGTCATGGTTTGAATGGTCCTCCTGTTGTTTTAGTTACACTCCAGTGCACTCAATCTTGTGGTTTTACTTTTCTGATTCTTAGAGATAGTTCTGAGCCCTTCTGCTTTATTTATTTACTTTTATTATTATTTTATTTTAAACTTGGAATGTGAGAAATATATGGGCTGGAAGTAATGCCCTAGACCAGGAGAAACTCTAATTACTGAATGAGGAATTAGTGTTCCACTTTGATCAGGTCTTCCAGGGCTATTGGTATCAAAGTCAGCTCTGTTAACCTGCCATCTTATGTTCAACAGCAGTGAACCACTTGGATGAGGATCTGTGCTGATATCAAGTGTGAAGAGATATGTTGCTAATTTCTGTTTTTGGGGGGCTGCACCCACTGATGTGAAAGTGCGTAAAACATCTGTGAAAACAGAAATCTGATGGGAGTAAGTTTTAGGTGTTGAAAAAGCAAGCCTTTCATGATTGTATGCCAGAGAAACTGGGAACACCTTGCAAAATGGAGAGTGTTAGGCTTCAAGGGGATGGCACTTGGGGAGAAGTTGCTAGATCAAATCAAGTCCACTTACAAAGTTGTTAAAGAATTGATGAGCCAGAGAGCTGCTTGAGTGAGATTTCAGAGTGATGCATAATGTATATTTGAAGCTTTTAGTCCAAATGTAAACAGAAGATAGAAGGGACAAGACAGATGAACAAATGCATGTTCTCTAGGCTCTGGCCTCTGTGTTTGCTAGGACTTTTTTTTTTTCATTAAGCTGCTTGTCTTTTGGTAAAAAAAATCACCGTGGAACTTAACGTGTTGCATTAAGCACAAGGCTCTGAAGAGTTCTAGATTTCCCAGCATTTGGACCTGGCTTATGAAAAGCAACAAACATTGGCCTTGAGAAGTCAGACATTGAATAACTACTGGATTGTCCTAAAGACCCTCTGACTGCAGAAGAACACCATAAAAATTAGAGTCTAAAGTGCTGTTGAGCATACAACATCGCACTATGGGACTGAATTCAGCTTTGCAACAAGAACAGTCCCTGTTAGCTTCATTTGGTTTAGTTTTGAGTGCAGACGTCCTGTCTTGCACTCTTGTAAAACGGATGAAGTAGCCTCTGAAACTTTTCAGCATGAAAATGTGGGTCCTTTGGGTTAAAGGCAGTTGCTGCTCTTTTTGGAAGGGCGTTGCTGAAACTGGAACAGCAGATGAGTTGTGGCAAAGAAACATGAAACACAGATTTGTGGAACCTTCTGTTAAACCTGTAACCAGGACCAGGAGCTGCAGCAAGATTTTTTGATCAACAGGCGAGATCGCACTCCTCAGGATGTTCACCTTGGATTGGGAGGTACCCAGGTCCAAGTGTTGTCTCGAGCATGAATTTGCTTGTGAGGCTGCTGTCCCACACGCATGAACCAGTTGCCTGTTTAGTGCTCTTGTATATCAGTAAGCAACTTAATCTTGGGACGCACAACATAAGAAGCAGATTTTGCCTCTCCTTAAAATGCAGAATGAGGGCAAGTTCTGAAACACTGATGAAGCATCTTCTTTTTCTCATCAGCCTAATGGCTGCTCGTGCTTTTTCTGCAGTAACTGCTACAAATCTGCAATGCACACTGCACAGTGTAAGTGCAAATCAGTTTGGGAATGATAATGAAGCTTATCAGAGATAATCTGAGAATGGCTGCTTCCACTTCTGCACAGGGCTGTGCTGGAGCTTGGGTGAACATGTATCTCCCAGTAATCAGTAAATGAAATGCAATTAGCAGGGTGATGGGATTAATCACTTGATCACCACCTTAGACCTCTTAGTGACTATGCTGAGATCCCTTGATGGATGATGATGTGAATTTGCAAAGCATCGTTCATTCTCATCACTTGTTCTTTGCCCTCCTGTGGTGAAATTAAAACAGTCTCTGGGCAGGAAAAATAGAAGCTACATAGAAAACTCCAGCAGTAAGAATAAATTATAGCCTTAACTAGTTCAGCAAAATCAAGCAATGGCATTCTGTTAGCACCTGAAGTCTCTGCTCATCTGACTCTTGTATGTTTTGTCATTTGAGCCTAGGCTGCTTTTCTTTTGTTTCCACCGCAGAAGCAGGCAGACAAATGGGACAGGGTACTACTACGTGTGCTTTTCCAGTGGGGAAAAATTGCTTACGGCTCTGATAATTGACAACAAAACAGCATTTTGCCCATTCCAAGCAGGTAGTTTGAATTCTCTCTCCATTACTGAAATGCACTGCGCACAGCATTTCAGACGCTGTTTATAAATCATTGCTTGAGAATCACAATAGTACTTCTGGCCCCATCTGCCTGCCTTCTGTTTCAGAAAGACCTTCAATAACCTTCTCTCACAAAAACCCCGCCCAGACTTCTCGTGTTTATTTCTACTTGTTGCTTCAACCACCTTCACTGGTAACACGTACCAGGTATTTATTACCCTCCATGTGATGTAGTCTTACTGCGTTCTCCCTTCACTCCTGGTTTTCTCACATGGTGCTAAGATCTGAGTTAATTTCTAAATGTTCACTCCGTTTTGTAAAATCACCTTTGAGTCTGTGGGCTAATTCTTGGGATCCTTGGATTTTAGAAGGGCTGACTCTCAAATGGTGATTTCTCTTCATGTCTATAAAAACATTAAAAATGTCCATATAATTCAGACTTATGGTTCCTCAAGCCCACTATTTTGTCTCCAGGCATGGAAATAAATGCCATTTTGGGAGAGGGTGTGAACCTAGCCACTTTCTGCTCTGTTTCCATAGTTGTTCCACAGCACCAACATCTGTTGTTTTAAGGATGTTAGAGGGCACATCCCTGCCTCTTCCTTTTACTGTTTGTTAGGGACTGAAGCAGCATCAGACTAGCATGAGGCATCAACATAACTGAGAATTGGTCCCAAAGACAAGGCTGAGTCCTGAGCTGTTTGATGTCAGTGAGTGCTTTTCTGCTCTGGGAGATTTGTTCTCTTCAACACTCTCTTCCTCTCTGCTCAGGTTTTACTTCTAGCTGTGTACCAGTTTTCTGTGCCACCTCTGACCAGGAGGGTCTGAGGTAGGAGCCTCAGGAGTCCCAGAGTTCATCCTGGGCAGGAGATGCTCCACGGTACCTGAGTGCTCTGGGTAGGCAAAGTCCCAGGGACAGCACCCTTGCAGCAAGACTCTCAGTCTCTCTGGGGATGAGACCTCTTAAATGCATCTGATTTACCTCTCTGAGGTGGGTGGTGAAGGCACATTGAATTGCTCAGGCTTGGTAACATCACAGAAACAAAGTGCCTTTAGTAAGACTGAAGACCAGACTTAGACTGAAGCAGCAAAAGGTTGCAAGGGTAACAGGATGAAAATACAGTTCTAGCTTGCATTGAACAACCACGTGCCTCTCTCTCTCGCTTTCATTTCTCATCCCTAGAATTATGATGACAGAAGTGTAATGGTTTGCTTCAAACTGGATACCTGTTTCTCTTTTGCTCCCACTCAATTTGCTGGTTATTTCTTTCTGTCAGGTCTGCAGTGTGCCCTTTGTTTAAGGGTATGAATATGCACACTTCGGATATGAGACACGGATGATACTTACTTAATCAACTTAAAATTATGATGCTGTGTTATCAACTTTCTGTAGAGGTTCTGAATGGTTCATACTTAACTCAGTGCAATCCCACTCTGTGTGGGGGTATTAACGAAGGCTGATTTTGTCCTGAAATGCAGAATACTCTGAAAAGGGACCATTTTTGGTCACAGGTGTAAATATTTGAGTATACTTCTATACAAAATGAACCATGATCATGTTACAGTAAAATTATGTTGTTTATGTTGTGATGAAGGGTGTGTGTGTGCATATGTGTTCTGCTGATCGAGGATGCCAATTAAACTCAGATACCAGAGTGAGAAGAGTAGGCTGATTTTACTGTTAATAATTAAAGGATATAACCAAGTAATACAGGAAATAAGCAATAAGAAAAATACAGACTAGTACACTTAATTATTACTACATACAGTTAATTATAGAAAATAAGAACAAGCAAAGTAATGCACCTAATCATTACTACACAATGAGGAGAATAGTGATTAAGAAAGATCCATCACCCCTTGCATACATTACCAACATCCAGACCCGCAGGTGCTGGGCAGCCCCGGTTACAGCGAGGGTTTGGAGAGCCTGTCTTGGCAAGTGGGAAATCCTACGCAGTGCCTCCACCCGTAGGTGAGGCATCCAGAGTCGCTGTGAGCGGGTCCGGCCTTATAGACCCAAAAACCAGCAAGTCAGAATGACCTGCACTTTTCTTTGAGCGGAAACGTCTGGTTTCATCCTCCTGCTGGATTCCACCCAAAGCCTGGCCAGGGCTCGGGGGGAGACCAAGGGAGTTTCTAACAAGGCCAAACACTTGGGTTCTCAGCCCTGAACAAGGCTGAACGAGGGAAGCTGGATACACACCCTCACAGCATTTCATCCTCACTACTGATTACATTTTGCCTAAGCTACATCTTTCACTAGTGAGCATACATACTTCATTAGTGATCAGATACTAATTAATAAATGCTAATGGTAGTACAGGTTTTACTAATTAGCAGAGACCAGTAATGGATAACATTTGGTTTTGAGGTTCGTCTAGAGGTCAGCTTTGTTTCAGGACATATTATTCAAGCTCTAGCACTACAATATGTAGGTGCATGCATATGGTGCATACACCTGTGCCAGGACAGTTTAACCCTGTACAAGCATCTACACAGTTATAACTTTTTCCATCAAAGTAGGCTTTACTGTTTTAACCCGGTGCAGATATATCAGGGTATGCGATGGGTCGTGTAGCCTTACTCCCTTCTGTTCATTAGAACCAGGCAAAAGCATTGCAAGCTCCCATGTCCTCTGATATGATCAGAGAGGGGCTGTCTCTGCTTCAGGTTACAGTCTCATATTTTTTTTAGTTGTCAGGGAATAAATGTTTTCTCAGTTATTTTTTCCATCTCTCTAGTGACTAGCAAAACCCTGTATTTCTGTTGCACAAACCTAATAGTATATCTGTGTTTTGTTGTTTTTGTTTGGTTTTTTTTCCCATCTTCTCTCTTCCAGTTCTTCATGTTTATTTTGTTAATCTTCCTGGCGGAGCTTTCAGCTGCGATCCTGGCTTTTATCTTCAGAGAAAATGTAAGTATCCGATGGTGGGCAAACTCGGAACCCCAGTAGGATTGTACCCAGCTGGAGCATGGTGTTAGATCGTTTGTAGATTTGTTTGCAGAGTAACCGTTTGTTTCAAATACCAACAAACCTGCTTCATTGCTACCCTCAGTCTGAAGAACTGCCAGCAAGCCGGTGAACGCGAACTAACCTGGCGTGTGCAAGGGTAAATGGTTTATGTACACAGAAGATACACGCTGGGGGACTACTTAAATATTGAAGTTTTTAGAGTCTTCCTGATTCTTTTGCAGCCAAACCAGCTGCGCATTCCATCAGAGAGAAGTTTTATAATAAAGTCACACTAAGGTTAAAAGCAACTATTTTCTTTTTTCAATATAGCATGTGTTTAATATTAATATTAATAGTGAAACCTCCTGTTTTCCCAACAGACCCAATGCTTGCTCTGCAGTGCAAAAACTCTCTTGTGCATGTTCTAATCATATTCCTTCTTGAATTTTTGTTCTGCTGCTCACCAGATTCCTCTCAATGCTTGTAAGATATCCCTCCCGACCTGCCCTGAGCAAGTCTCCCCGTGTGCCATTTCGTGTCCCATCAATGGATCCCTTGCATGTTGCCCTTCTTACAAATTTCTTGTCCTTCTCTCCACAGCTTCATGTGATGTAGCCTTTCTCTGCTGCTGTGCATATCATTATTATATGGCCATCACCCCTCCCCTACACTAGTAGTAATCAACCCCAACAAGGGTTTGTGCATTTTTTTTCATGTTCTCACATGTGCAAAGAAGAGCCTGACTGAACTAGGTCCATGCTTCTCAAGTCGGCCCATCTTTGGAATATGACTCTGAGTGATGGCTGTGAAAAAACATTGACCAGTAGAGGTGGTCACTAATGACTGTTAGTATTTATTTTATTTATTTGGCCTCTTCCAACACTAAGAGAACATAACTGCACGTTTGCTGTACTGAACATGACATGTATTGAACATCACATATGTGACATGAGCATAGAAGGGCCATGTAAAATGATGATTTTTTTTCAACCAGGATATACTTTTATTCATATAAATAGATTTTGATAAGCAAAGAATCAAGACTTAGGAAACTCACGGCAAGAGAGTGGTGTTTGTGCAGTAGGATGGTCTTGGGGGTAGTTAGTGAGAGGATTTTTTTTCCCTTTATAAGCTGGTGGTCTGTTATCTTTGCCTTGGATCTGAAGGCAGTGAGGAAGGGTCGGCACTCTGTACACAGGGTGGGTACCCCATTCCAGCTTAGGCTTTGAGACCATGCCCTCATGGGAACAGCTACCGCTCCATAAATAGGCTGCAGTGTGGGGGGTCTGGTGTGTTCTGGTCATTGCAGCTCTGCTGTTAGGAGGTTTTAGGGAATTCCTTTGGTTCAGCACAAACAGCAGACCGCACACATAGAAACTGCCCTGCAGACCCGGGTGCAGGCTTCACGACAGAGAACACGGTCCCTGGTGAGCAGAGACTGGGCGAGCAGCCGGTGGCTGACTGCTCCCACCTCCCACCTTCCCTGTGGGAAACGGGTAAAAGGCACCAGAAACTAGCAAGGCTGGCTGCGAGTCCTGCGTGCGGGGTGACCGCAGGGCTGGCTGTGTCCTCTTCCCTAAGTCACAAGGAGCCTGCTTACGTCTTATTCCTGGGCAAAGCATCGGCACCTTACGCTCCCATGGAAGATGTGAGACACATGACAATATGTTATCTTGCGTATCATTTGCAGTGGTTATTCTAGACTTCTGTGGCATCTGGTGGGGTTTTGTGCAATGAAACTTGAAGGGGAACAAGCTTCTGCCTTTCTTGAGCTTGTCTCCTCTGTATCGGCAGCTTCCCTCCCTGTCAGAATGACTGATAGGAAAGGCTTAAATGGGAAGGAATGAAGAACATCAGATCCCAACATAGCTGGTGCTGGCTCTATGTAGAACTTAAACTGAGTCTGGAAATTCTTGTGGTTTGTTCTCTCCTTAGGTTTCTTCCGAAAAAATACCCCTTGTTTTGCTGTTGCTATATATTTTGGTGGTAGCTCCTCTGGCTTGGCAACTACATGTGGCTAATTTTGCTGTCATCTTTGGGTTAGGGTGAGGCTAGATGGCTGGACGGCATGTCCATGGGGACAGAGATGGTCTTTCAGTGACCCCATGTTAGGAGGACATTGTAGAGAGGTTGGTGCTGGTCTCTTCTCACAGGGAATTAGTGACAGAACAAGAGGGAACGGCTTTAAACTGCAACAGGGGAGAGTCAGACTGGACATTAGGAAAAAAATTTTCAAAGAAAGAGTGGTCTGAGAGTGGAATAGGCTGCCCAGGGAGGGGTGGAGTCACCATCCCTGGGTGTGGTTAAGGGTCGTTTGGATGAGATGCTGGGGGATGTGGGGTAGGGGAGAACTGTGTAGAGTTGGGCTGATGGTTGGACTCGATGATCCCAAGGGTCTTTTCCAAACTAAATGATTCTGTGCTTTTCTCTTCCCTGCGAAACAAGTTACTGTCAAAGAATGTGGTGGTAAATGCACATTTAGGCAACCTAAATTTCTTGTAACCAAGCATATTGCAGTAGTGGTCATTGCACCAGTCCATATGGCTATGGCCTCACTGGGTGCATAAAACAAGACGAGAGAAAGATGTGCTCTACCTGTTCTCTTTGCAGATAATGTTCAGTACAGCTTTCTCTTGTATAGTGTTTCGCATCTAAACTAGCTCCCAGATACTCAACAGAGTTAAATTATCAATAGCTGAGGGAGCAAAAGAAGTTAAGAGACAAAAATAAGGGAGAAAAGAGATGTTTTCTGCTGAGATTTGACATGAGAGGAAGAATCAGCCAGGCAGTGTGGTGATGGGGTGCGTGAAAGTGATGTTTGCGATTGTGAGCTAGAGTGATCTGCAAGTCCACTTGCACTCCCAAAGACCTGTTTAAAAGTGGTTCTGAAGAGGAAGGCTGTTGTTAATCAGTTATGGGAGTACCGGAGTTTTTCTTCCTTTGTAAAGGAGTTTTCAAGAGGGTGAAGAACCCTTATTCATCTAGAAGGCCCCCCCCTAAAATAATGTCTTCCATGAACAATAGAGAGAAGCTGTGAAAGAGGAATTTGATTTATGTACTGGAATTGCTCTTTATATGCCCTTCAGAGGTCTGAATGGGAAAAGCCCTGGAGGGATATTTGACATTTTTAGTGAATTCTTGAGCACAGCGCTGTGTAAGATGGCTGTGACCTTCCTGGCCAGTGCTGGCACACCTGTGTTGTGCAGAAGTGCCTTCTTTTTCATGAGTCCCCTTCGTCTGGCTGCAGTAATCCCAGTGACAACAGTCCCACTTCATTCACTGGCATGTAAATGTAGGCATGCAAGTGCTTCTTCTGTATTGGAGACATTCCCCCCAGAACACCTAGAAGAAGACACAGCTGAACGGCTCTTCATTGTTCATGGATGTGGCTGGTATAATTGTGTTGTCAGAAGTGTGTGTAAAGATCTAGTTTTATTAGTAGGTCCTTTGCTCCCTTCAGAACAGTTTTTGCCATAGTAGTCCCATGTCCACAGACCTCATCAATGCCGTTATTAGCTTCAGCGAGAGGGGGGCCATGGGCATGCGAGTAGGAACGACTGTCTTTCTGACTTTTATCCTCCTCTGTCAGCATTTTTTTTAAAAGAAGAAAGATGCTTCTGCTGATCGATTTTTTTTTTTTTTTTTTTTTTACATTTTTCTGAACTGCAGATACTCAGGAAAAACAGTTTAAGAGCAACAAAATGGAATCAGTTATTTTCCTGGCAAACTTACCCTTCCAGCACTAGCCTTTGTTTTAGGCCAAGTCTCGTAAAAATCGCACACAAACTCTGAACAATTTCCTCTGGGGTTGCTGCTGTCAAAATAAAGGTTTCGCTTTATATTTAAATGACTCTTTTGTTTTAGACCCCGCCAAAGGCAGTCGGCTGGGATTATTACCAACGGTAATATCAGTTTCAAAGTCCGCGCTGCAGAAACAGACAAGCATCAAAAAAATGTGCTGCTGTCTCTGCAGGGTAGGATGCTGCTTGAATAAAGTACTCGGAGGAAGGGAAGGAAAGGAGAACACTGAGGATGTATTTCAGCATTTCCTAACCTGACCTTCCCCCAGTGCACCAAAATCCCAAAGGAAAATGCTGTGTCCTCTTTTAATATTTTTTAATATTAATATTAAAATTAATATTAAAATAATACTAGTATTTTAATATTCAAATGCAAAAAATTAGTTAATATCAGTCCCATAGGATTGATTTTGGGAATATAGCAGTATATCTAATTAGAAGGTAGTGAGATTGAGCTACCTGCATCATTCAACTCTTTGTGACAAAGTTTTACCCAGTATTGATTTAGTCATTAAATTTGGCCTTAGTTCGTATTTGTAAAAGAGAAGTCAGTATTAAGTGGTATTCAGGGATCTTTTGTCACACAACCGTCTCTCTTTTTTTCCCTGAATTTTGTGATACAGTTACAAAGGAAACAATTCTGTGCTTGTGCCTTTGTGCCCACCCATACATCTCATACATATGTATGCATATGTATGGTATTTCACGTTGCCTGTCAAGAAACTGTACGTAGCACTTGTAGCACTGTATGTTACTGCATCTGCAGTGCTCTATGAACAACAGGGGGAAGAAAATTAAAAAAAAAAAAAAAAAAAAAAAAAAAAAAATTTTTTTGGTCAGCTTAATTCCTGATCCTGCAAATATGTAACACTGGAGCAGTGCTGTGTCCAGCCAAGTCCAACCCCTTCAGTGAGGCTTTGCAGTGACAGAGAGATTTTTGCCTGTACGGATCACAAATCACAAGGTATTTTAAGAGGAAGGACCACACAAGTCAAGACCTATTGGGAACCCAAAAAGGGAATTCCTTGAAGTTTTCATTCTAAAGTGACAGAAGCGCAATAAGATTGAATCGGGGTGTTCAGTTTAAAAAGTCTATTAGGTTTGTATATTTACTAGTCCTCCAGGGAGTGATCCTAAATAAATGTAATTTCAAGGTGTCTAGCTTTTTGAGAAGACTGAGCCAAAATGTTAGTTCATTTTTTCTGCTGTACTATAAATATAAACAGGAGTAAATGAAATTTCATTTGTTTATATTGTTGACCTTAGGAAAAATGTTTAAATTATCTAAACACTGGAAATATAATGAGGATTTTTTTTCTTCGTGAGTGTGGGTTAATTTAGATAATCTAAAGCCTTGTCAGGTAAACGGTTTCTTTTTCCAATTTGTAAGTTGACTTTAACATTTCATATTCACTGTATGTTTTCTACTTCCTTTTCATTCCCAGAAAGTTTCATATTAGGACTTCATTCTGCTTTCTCACACATGGAAGTAAATTCAGAGCAGTTCCCCTGTTGTTAGTAGGAAGTTAACTGGTTTAAAATGAAAGGTGAGGGAAAATCATGCTTTGATTGCAGACCTCCTGAGTCACAGTAAGTTAAATTACTATTTGTGTGTGAATTTGAAGTTCTTTCTAAAATCTGTTTTAGTCCACTTTCAAATAGCACTGAAAATTTAAAAAAAACAACCAAACTTTAAATGTAAATACTATCTAGGTACAATTCAATCCCTGTTTTTTAATGAGCAACAGTTTTATTCACAAATGCCATCTACCCTCGATATAGTTATGGTTCAGCCAGTGACTTTTCCCATGTTTCTCCTCTGACATTTGAAAAAAATAAAAAAAAAAAGAGCAAACTCAAACCAACGAAACAACCCCCAATATTCACAGAAGGGAGTTTTGGGAAGTACTTGGGAAGGTGCTGGCAGCAGCCCTTACATTTCCGTCTGTGTGTGTGTGTTTCAGCTGACCAGAGAGTTTTTCACCAAGGAGCTGAAGAAGCATTACCTGAGGAACAATGACACGGATGTCTTCTCTTCCACCTGGAACTCTGTTATGATCACAGTAAGTCAGGCCGTGCCAGTCCCATGCTGCCCACGGTCAGCAGCCATCAACACGGTGCTCAACTCACACCTTGGCTCGCCCAGGGTCAGCCTGTTCCAACCATCCCACCAGGTCAGGCACAGCACCGGGGTTTGTGGCGGTGGTGGTGGGCAGATGAGGATTTGTCTGGCAGCTGGTCTTTCTGGAGTTGGCCCTGAGAGAGATGCTCCCAGTGACTGTGTCAGCCTTTGTGGTTTGCCAAGGCCTGAGGTGTTTGACCTGACTGGGTACCCCCAGCTTTCAAACAGCGGGCACAGAAAGCTGTGGAGCTGCCTGCAACTGAATATCACTGCATTTAGCCTGGAACTTTCACCTTGCAGACTAATTCAGAACTATTCTGGGCCAACAGCAGCCAAGTACTGATGCTAACTAATGACTTTTTATTAGCTCTTGTGAAATGAGTTGGTAGGTGGCAGATGAGGTAGGAGTGTGCCTAATGGTATTATTTTCGGTATAGAAACATTAGCCATCAAAACTGACTTTTGTTATTGCAGTTCTAATCAGGCAGGTTGCAGATCAACTGTCGTTGGAATTGGAGTTGTTATTATCTGCTACAAGAAATTCTCTCTGTGTGTGTGTGCACGTGTGTGTACACAGGTGAACTTAGTGCTCAGTACAGCCCACAGTGTATCTCTTCGGGAGTGAAGAGAGGGATGTCAGGCTCTGCAGATGAAAAGTCAATTTTAATCTTAAAAGAAAAAGATGATTGCTGCCCTTCATGCTGATTCAGGACTTTAATAAAGACATTTCCTTTTGCTGACTGAAAGGAGACAGAGTCAGAGTATGACTTGAATCCTTAAAAAGAACCTGACTTGAATCCTAAAAAGGTTCCTTATGTGAATCACCTAGCAGTGCCTTTGAGCAGCAACAATCCTGGCCGTTAGCTATGGGGAGAGCAGGCAGCCGGTCAGGAGCCTGGATTGTAGTGCTGGCTCCCTTACAAACTTGCTGGGTGATCTCAAGCAAGTCATTCTGGATGTGCTCCAAAGCCCTGTGTAGCTCATGGCAATATTCCCAGTGGTACCTTGGAGTCTACAGTATGACGTGGGAACAGTGGGACTTATAAAAAGGCTTTGATGAAACAGAAGCTCCAAGGTACAAGCACAACCCACTTCTTTGAAAACAACAGTTGTTTTGTCTCTGCTTTGACTAAATCTTTGATCCCTACAAGAACAGGTCTTTGGTAGATTTCTCGTATCTGCTTTCAGGGCAAAGTGTCAGCTCTGTCTTCCTTTCTTCTCCATGCCTTCTCCCTAGTTTGCCTGCTGTGGAGTGAACGGACCAGAAGATTTTGAAGCTGTCCCTCATCTTCCATACTCCTCTTTAGAAAGTGTAACACCAGAGGCTTGTTGCCAGCGAGAGCTCCAGAGCCGGGAAGGGATGTTCATCGACAAGGAAGCCTGCCTCACAGGCATTGAAAGGTTTCAGAACCGACAGGTAAGGGAAGCCTAACACCGGGAAAAGGAGTTCCACAGCAGGCAGAGAGATGCCCACAGTGGTCATGGGTAGCTAGTGAACCTGGCACGTTGTGCCATTCTGACTGTAGCTCACATCCTAATCACACTTCTGCTGACAGCTTTTGAAGTCATGGCATATGTCTGATTTTGAAAATGCCCTTTCGTTGCTAACATGGACTGCTAAGTCCATGTTGTGCTGTATCGGCAGAAATATGAGGATTTTCCCAAGGGACTGAGAGGTGGGTTGGAAATTTACATCCAGTTTTATTGTGTTTCTGAAAGTTAATACTATCTCTGAGAAGTTAATTATCAAGCCAGCACAGGTCGGTGAGGATAGGATGGAGTTGGCTCTTCCTGGCTCCAGTTTAGCTCACAAAGATTCCTCATCGTCAGCGTATGCAACCAATAGATCAAGGGTTAAACAGCCACAGAAAACTATGTCTGTTTTCCAAGGAAGGGAAGTGTTGGAAAGCTGCATTCCTCTGCTCTTTTACTCTTTACAGTAGAAAAAGGGCATTTCTTTTGTGAGGCCTCTTGTCTTGGCAATTTTTCCCAATACTAGACTGGAACAAGACAGTTCAGCATGTCATTGACAGCCACCTTTCCTTACAGTGTCACCAAGACGTGAAGTTTAAGAAACTTTATAGCAAAGTTCCAGACTGCGTTCACCTCAGCATTAATAAGCCAGCTGAGCTCTGTGCTGACCATATGTACAAGCCTCCTTTTCTCTCCAGAGTGAGCGGCGGTCCTCTTTTCATCACTCAGTAGCAGACTGTGAAAAGAGTAAAGGAGTTTGGGAGCAGCGTGTGAGCTGTTCCTTGCCTGGTAGCTGGAAATGGTTGGCAAAGGCACTCTGGGTGAGAGATCATAGCAAACAGCACCATACTGCTGCTGCCAGGTCTGATTACTGTGAATAGACAGGGAAAAGAGAGAGGAGAGAGATGACAAACAGCAGGGAGGGAGATGCATTTTGAGAAAGAGTGTTAAAGCAAATAACAGATTTAGCTTTCCCTAAGTGGTGATGCTAAGGCCTACCACTTCTTTGGAAGGGGAAGGTTTCCTGTGAGCCCTGTCACCGCAGAGTGTTGGTGGGAGAAGCTGTGTGCACAGTGAGTGTCACCACACAGACAGTGAGGCACTTCTGTGAAATGGGAGAGACACTCCCAAGCAACTGGTGGCTGAATTCAGGCATTCCTGGGGCAGTGTCGGGCTCTTGGGACACCATGCTGGTAGGACAGTGCTGGCCGCACTTGTGCTCACCCCAGTTTGTAGCCAGCTGAGCGGGGCGTGCTGGAAGTTGGGTTAAGGTTGGAGTTCTGGCCAGCACCCAGATATTTGTTGCTGGGCTGAATGCTTTTCCCTGAAAATTGGGTTGAAATGTGGCTGGAACAAAGCTGCTGCTGAGCAGTCTCATCTTGACGGAGCATGGTTTTAACATCTCGGTTACCGCCCCAAGGGTCTGCACTCCCTTGGTCTGCCTCACAAGTGGATCTTCTCTGTGCTCTCCCTGGCTCTCCTCTGGTTGTGTCTCACTCACAGTGAGCAGGGTCTGGCATGGACACCAGTACATAACTGGTGTGCTGTCTTTGCAGTTCAGATATTTTCTTTATGTGTGGAAGGAAAACATCAGGTGATTGAAACTTCCCAGCAGTATGGATGGGATTAAACATGTATGCGTGAAATCTATGTTCAGCGGGAAGGAGAGCTACTTTTTACCCTGGACAAACTCCAATCTACTTTTCTCTTTATGAGTGACCTATTTGCAGAAATTTGCTGGTGGGTTGGAATTTTAGGCTGAGAGAACTGAGGCCAGGATAAGCCGGTGATTTCCAGAAGATCTGCCAGATTTTCAGAAGGTTTACATGCTGTTAATTGTATGAGCAATAATAAACGACATTAAAGGTTATGGTGGCTATGCTGTATAAGTGGAAAAATTGCTGTAGTTCATGGCCCTGAGTTCTTAATGAAATTAATCCTCCTGCAGCCAGATCAGCAGGTGTTCATCCATGCTCCTTTGGGGGAAGGCAGAGAGAGAAGTCCTGGGGTGTGAAAGAGCTGCTGGCTATGAGAAAGGATTCAAGAATCTCCTGCCTTGGCTTTAAATAAATCATCCTTTTCCCTCGCCAGCCTGGGCTGCCTGTCACCTGCCCTCAGGGTCCTTTCCTCTCTGCTTAGTCTCTGCCTTTTGCTCCTCCGTGCTCCGTGCTGCTCCTCTCTGCCTTGCAAGCAGTCACAGTTCTTTGTGGACAGTGAGGGGTTGTGGGGCTGAAGTAGTCCCACCCCACGACAGCAAAACCTTCCCATCCCCTCCCTGGCACCATCCTAGGGGTCTCTGCCTCCTGTGCTGTGGGGCTGGGTGAGAGGGAGCCGTGCTTGTGGTGCCTGGAGCTGGGAGCACCTCCTGTACTAATGAGGGCTGTGCTGTGAGAACAACGCAATGGTGCATCTCACCACGTTCTGTACTCCCTAGGGCTGCTACACCGTGATCCTGAACTCCTTTGAAACCTACGTGTACCTCGCAGGAGCCCTCGCCATCGGAGTGTTGGCTATTGAGGTACTTACTGTGGTGTGCCTGGGAGAAAAGTGGTGTTGGTAGATATCCAGCAGCGAGGCAAGTGGGCAGCTGCTCCCCCTTGCCAGGGGAAGCCTCTCCTGCAACGTGTGAGCAGGTTGTCAGCTTGTGCTTTTAATTGACGGGAAAGAGCTGGATGCTTTGTCCTTTGCTGCGAAAGGCAGGGAAATACTTGTGCCGCACGGCTGCAGTGCCGCCTCATGTCGGACGTGCCAGAGGGCTCGCGCTCTGCCACACTGCCCACAGGGGCTTCAGGGGGCCAGCGCCCGCCCCAGGGCCCCGCACGGTCACTGCCCTCACCGCCGCAGCACCCCAGCAAGCTGACTAATCTCTCACTTGGTTAATGTGTTCCAACTCTGCCTTTGCTTTAAAACCTTCTGGTTAGAGCCTGTAACTATTGGCTCCAGAGCATCTGTTATCCTGCGTTAGTACCTGCCTCTTGGGTGATGTTTCTGAGAAACAGGCTTCCACCAGACATGATGTTAGCCCAGAAGTGATGCCCCTGCATCACTGTTGGGGTAAGGCCGGGTGCTTTCCCCAGTCCCCGGTCTTGTGCAAAGGAGAGGGATCTGGACAGAGTGCCCCAGCAGCCCTCGCAAAGACCACGCTGTGCCCATTCCGGGCAGCAGCAGTAATGATGTGCAGGGCAGGTACCACAGAGCCCACTCCTCTGTGACACCCTGGGTATGAAGCCAGGCTTCTGCTGTAGCCACAAACAGTGTGAGGGGGCAGGGGCATGAGGGGAGGGATCGCCATCAGAAAATAAAAAAAGCTTTGCCACAGCCTCCCCTGGGTGGTGAGAAGGGACCCCCTTGCTGTGTCACTGACTGCTAGGCAGGAGGGAGTGACGGGAGTGGTCCCAGGGCCAGGAAGGGCTTGGTTGATCTTCTGGAAGGTCCAGCTGACTCTTGTGGTTCTCTGTTTTGTTTTTGTCCTCTTCTTCCTGCTCCCACCTTCCCAGCTGTTCGCCATGATCTTTGCTATGTGTCTCTTTCGAGGGATCCAGTAAAAGGTGGCCCACGAACCACCACGTTCCCCACATGTTCAGAAGAAAGAAGGAAAACCAGAAGAAACAAAACCTGAAAACACCCAAAAAACTTTATTTTTTTTAACAAAATGGGGTAGGGGGATAAAAAGAAAAAAAAAGAGGGTTGTAATATATGAATGACCAAAAGGATTGTACTTCAGGGGCTGGAACTTTGAGGTGATGTGCACTACACTGTACACCGGACCCTTGCCCAGAGCCACCCGCAGCAGCCGTGGAGCAGGAGCCCAGTGCAGCCAATTGCACTAGAGACTGATGGAGCTGGTGGTGGGGAGCAGGTGGATGAGCACAGCTGCCTCTCCCACAAGGCCCTGCCTACCATTCGCGACTCTACCATGCTTTAGGCAGCAAAGGACTGAAGAACAGACATGCAGGGGCTGGATAAGGCAACAGGTTGGCTGGAGTCTGTGACAGTCCTGCTGGGCTTGAAACAAGTGGTGGTGACTCATCTAAGAAGCAGGTAGTCATCGTTTGCACGGTTCTGGCTTTAATTCCAAGCCACAGAATGAAAACACACATTCTTCAGTGGAAGCTTTGTCCCTGTCACCTGAAACAGGTCAGAGAAGTCAAGCACTTCAGTGAGGCTGGCTTTTCTCTGGAGCCCCAAGCAGGGGCAGTGTCGTCTCACTTAGTGATGGGACTCAGCTAAGGCTGGCTGGTGATCAAGAGTTTGGTGCCTAACTTTCTGTTTCTATTAAGATTTACTGTTCATTGTTGTGAAAGAGACAAGGTGGTTCCCTGCTGTGTTCCCATGTCCTGGGAAAAATAATGGCTCCGATTAAGAATCATTGATACTGCTCCCTTCCTGAGACGGGGAGGAAATAGCATTTAAATCTTGTCATTCTTTGCCTTTCCCTTCATCCTTGCAAAAAACGGTTTGTGGTGCTCTGTTAGCATAAATATTTGCAGTGGTTCCTACACGCTTTCCAGCCCTAAAGGGAGGTCCAGGCATGGTGCTGCATGGAGGAGGCTGAGGTTTGTCAGCCACTCCCATGCTGTTTGCCTGAAGTGGTCTTGTGGTGTCATTTCTGCTCAGAGGATTTCCCCCGAGGTCCTCCCATGGGCTCATGATGAAAGGAAGTCGGAACTGGTTTAGTCTGCCTGTTACTTGAGAGCATTTCCTCCTTTGAGATCGTTTGACATTTAACTGATGTGCCATCTAGTTATTCTACTTGAAGTGAACTTGAGAAAGATGCCTGGGACTGGACCGTGGTCTGAGATTAAGATGGAACTACTGAGGCACCAAGCAGGCTCTAATAGCACCCAGTGTGCAGCCAAACCATCCCAGCTGCTGATCCAGTGGTTGTGGTTATCGACCCAGACTGGTCCCTGGTTTCTCTCCTCTGGAAACATCAATCCCTGTTGCCTTAATTGTTCATCTGGTCACTTCCTGACCCCAAACTCATTTTACTTAGAGGAGGACAGAAGGGGCTGTGGTTTCTTGTTTAGTTTAGGACTTTTTACAGATTTTATAGGCTCAGATTATGGAGCAGTTTTATATAGGCTTAAACAGCCCCTCTGAAAGCTGTAACCACTGGCAAGGAAAGTGAGGGGGCAGAAGGCAGCAGTGAGGAGCTGAGCAGTAACCTCGTGTTGCAGCAGTAGGTAGGGTCTGTCCCCTTACACCACTGGGGCTGTCTCTGGAGCTCTCCCAGTGCCACTGCGCAGGCTGCAGGGGACAAAGGAAGGAAAGCAGCAGAAAGCCTGGTCCGTAATAGACAAAGATCCTGGCTAAATATCCAGACTGGGGAATTGGGATGCTAAAGAACAGGAAGGAAGCATTAGAGCTTTTCCAAGCTTCATTTGAAAATAACAAGTTGCTCATCAGCAGGAGAGGGCCTGGGCAGGTAGAGCTGCAGCCCCCCATGCTGCAGTCAGCATATTCCAACAATGAAATAGGCAGCCAGGGCTGCTGAGCGGCCTCAGATGTTGCATTAAACCTTGTGGAAAGCTTCTCTGAACTATTTCCCTCTGGACCTTCTTTTAATGAGGCATTTTAGCATTAAATTCTGGTCTGTTGTTAATGAAGGAAAACAGTTTTGCTAGCCAAAACCCAGCAGTATTTATACCCAACAGCAGGTGCTGCGCTTAAGATAGGAAAAATCTGTTGCATCTGTTAGTCTTGCAGGGAACGGGCCGAGCAGAAGGCGAGCTTATCTGGTCTGCTTCTGCCTCAGGAGCTGGTGTCAGCGACTGTTCTGGGAGAGCAGTTCCCAGGGGAGGAACAAAACCATCAGCAGAGATGGTAATATGGCTGGAGGTGAGCAAGAGAAGCAGAACTGCCTCCCCCAGCCTCCAGTTCTTTTCCCTTTCCCCTCAGTTTATTATGCAAAGGCCTGCCTCTCAGGTCAGAGCCTGGAAGGCAAAATACCCTCATTTGTGCATGGTGGGTGGCTGAAGGGGGGAAAAAAAAAGCCTCAAAGTCTTTTTCTGCCACCAGTGGCATGGGGAAAAACTGTCAGAGCTGGGGGAACCGGACCAAAGCGCAAAGTGATAAATGCATATGCCTGAAGTAGGATCTCTGCCGGATTGTTTCTCTTTGGTTTTCCTAATTCTGTACTTATTACTTTGTGTGGTTTTAGCTTTCTCGCTTTCCCTCTCTCCCTAATGGTAGTCCCTGTATCTTCGAAAGGATCTCGTTCATCTGTTATTCTGGCCTTTGCGCAGCTGTTTCTCCTCTCTTACCTTGCCTGATCCCCCATTGCTCTTTTCTGGATGAAGACTTCAAATCCTCTGCAGCTGGGTAGTGCCACTGGGAACAGCGCTTGAAACCCCAGCAAAGGCCAGGCAGCACATTTTAAACAAGAACTGGAGATAGCTGTAAAGATACCGACAAGTCTGAGAGGACCTGTAGAAGTTGCTAACAGGCAGAAGGAATTTCCCCTGGGGGGATTTAATGAATGAGCAAGCCCAGAAAGCAGATTTCACGCTGTTATGGTGAAGCATGTAAATTTGTTGATTTTTGTCCCTTGGTTATGTGGCTGCCTGCTCTGTTGTACAGTAGTCTTCAGAACAGCGGGCAGGAGAAGCAACTGTATTTTTATATTTAACAGCTCTGGTGGATATTTTGGGGTCAGGGACTCGAGCTAGATTTACTGCTCACTGGAGAGCTCTGGGCAAGCTGGGGACCAGAGGGAGCTGCTGTGCTGCCGCCTCCTTCGCTGTAGCACCGTGACCACAGCCCGAGCACCCGGGATGGAAGTAGCAGAGAGCAGCCTGTGCCTGCGAGCCCACAGCCCCTCTTGGTGCCCCTGCCTCCTGGCTGTTATTTAATGCTCAAATGACTGTCACGAATGCCTGGGAAAAGGGCTGCGTGTGAAATAATGTTTGAAATCTATTTTAAAAAAAAAAACCTGTAAATGTTCTTTTTATTAGATAGTGGAGCTAATTTATCCTGTATTCCCTACTGTAATGCTTTTTTATATTGAAATGATTTTTTTTTTTGGTAATATAAACCAGAACACAAGCCTGAAGCACTCTCTGCACGGTTTTTGTGTGCGTTTCTTAAAAAAATAAAAAAAAATAAAAGAAAGATATTGTGACAGTGAAGTGAAACGGCTTTAATTTTCACTATTTGCTTGGTGTTAAGTACAGTCACTTTCTTACCAGAGGAGAAAGAATAAACTTGGGTACAGCAGCTAAAATGAGGTATAAACTGAAGTGTCCCATTCTCCCCTGCGCCCCCCACCCCGCCCAAGTAAAAACCCTTGACCAGAAAGGAGAGGCCGGCTTAGGACAGACAGAGCCTCTCCTTTGTCACCAGCTCCAGTTTGCCAGATATTAGTTAGGCGTCAATAAGGCGATGTAGAGAGTTATGTGAATGATGAGCTTTCTTCACCCTCAAAAGCGAGGGCTCTGTGAACGCAAAGGTTTGAGTCTATCTCCAGCAGAGAAAGGGGGGCAGCCTTTGTCCTGGCCCGTGCCTGCTTGGAGCACAACCCTCAGGGAACCACGACTCCCAGCCCTGCACAACTTTGTATGAATGCAGGTAACTCACTGCAGTCTCCCTTGGAAGACGATGTCAATCCAAGGCCTTTCTCACAGTTTTAACGGATAAGGAAACTGAAGCCTGTGGAAATGGAAGTTTTTTTCTCAGTAGATCAGTAGCAGAGCCTGAGGTGATGCCTCAAGGCTTCTGATCCCAGATTATATGGTCAACTGCTACTGTGATGCCAGCACTTCTGTCCTTAGGGATGCAGTCCTTACAAACATTTCAGCATCCTCCTCCCTTTCCCCCCATCCACAAGAGCAAAGACAACCAGGCCAGCCAGGTTCTGGCAGCCCTGCAGGTGCTCTGCCTGGGCTCCGTCCTCAAGCCACCCTGAGAAACTCCCTCCTAGACCTCACCTGCTACAAATTCACCTCCTCACATGGCCCTGTTTCTCCTGCAGCACCTTGCTGATAAGATGGGACCATGCCAGGGACCACAGCCTTTTCACAGCCATTGCCAGGTAGGGGCATCATTTGCCCCTTCTCACTTAGTTGTAGAAAAAGTTTTGAGCCCCAACCCACTTCCATACTTTCTACATGGTCCAATTTACAGCAAGGTGGAGCAAGAAGCATCAAAATAAAACAACTTCACCTCTCCCTTTTCAGAGCACTCCTCCAGGCTTTGTTCTGTGTTAGAACAAGACATTGACTGGCAAAACTAGAAGTGGCTCATGGTGGTAAGTTTTGCAGAGGCAGCTGCTAAGCAGGGGACCAGAGGAATCTGACCTCACCTGATTTAAAGGTCCTTTGGAGAGCTGTAACTGCTTCCTCCACCCTCCCACATGATTTAACCACTATGAAGTCTTGAAGAACTGCTCTCACAATAGTGCAGTAGTAACTCATTTGTCTCACCTGTGGGGTGACATTTCAAGGTACACTAAACAAGCAACCATCAACAGATTCAGAGTCAGAACTAAGTTCCTAGGACCTGCAGCCAGCACAGATGGGAAGACAACATTACGATGACCCTCCATTTCCTTTTTCTGCAAGATCGCTTTTGCTCTGGTCAGTTTTACTTGTCTTTCCTAGAAACATAATTTCCCCCCCCCGCTCCCAAAAGCAACGATCAGTCTGTGTATACATTCACATGACCCCCCCAAAACACAAAGAATCAAGCTTCACGTACCTATACCAACAACTACAGCCCAAGTGCTGCACTGAAGCCACGGCAGCCGTGCCTGCGGGTGGTGCGCGGGGTGAGAGCTACAGCCACAGCATGCCACGCTCCAGCTCCCACACGCAGCACTGCCTGGTTTGTCGTACTCCCCAGGCTGCACTTGATCAGTTCCTGCCTCACAGGGAAAAAGTTTCCCTCTTAGAGCCCAACTCTTCCACCTGAACAGGAAGGCTCCTCTTAAATACAAGTTTTTTTGCTCAGTATAATATTTTGGACATGTTGAGAGCAGCTTGGCAGGCACGTCTTGTTGGGAGGCTCCAGAATTTAGCCTGCTGTTGGATGTTGCCTCTCCATTTGATTTACTACTTAGGAAAAAAATAAATTACAGCTGTGATGTTTCCTGGTTCAACTATTTCCAATATTCTTACCTGACAGACATTTTGCATGGCCAGTAGGTAAAATGCACACAGTGTCCCAAGTTTATGCAGCTGCTGCTTCTAAATGCCAAAAGCACTAACACAACATACAGTAACTACCCACTACCTTCTTCTAACTCTACTAAGATACTGAACAGCAATAGCTGTAGATCCCAGTCTCACCAGTGGCTTGAGGGCTGTTGTTCACACAAGCACTTCTGTTTGCGTAGGCATCTTTCTACTGGGATTTTGGGATGTCAGCTCTATTCCAGGGCATGCTTTGATCCAGCCAGCAGTAGCACATGAGTTTGAGGTCCATATCCTGCATGCAGGCCTTCTGGCTTTAGTTCCATGGAGAACAAAAAAGCTGCCTCCAGCTGTGGACAGGGATAATCCGCAAGGAAAGCACTAGGAAGCAGGGCAGTCAATGCTGTCAAGCCCAGGAGGTGTTGGAGAAACTGGCCAGTGAGTACCAAAGCACATTCAGTCAGTCCTTGACTGAGCTAGAGAAGGCAACGATGCCTTCATACGCCCCGCTCCTTGCTGTTCTTCATCCCACTTAAGTATCTTAATGCTACAAACTTTGGTCCCCTCTTCTCAAAGTCAGAAGAGATGCGATGCCTGCACGTTAGCTGAGCTGGAACACCATCTCCCACAGCTGGGACTCATCTCTAGAGGCTGTTCACTCACCCAAGCAGCTGTACTGATGCTGGCTCTGCTCTTACTAGCGCTAACCACAACAGCACTCCAGCCCCTGCTTAACAGAAGTGTCAGACACTACCTCACACCCACCACTGCTACTACCATCAGTAAAGCTGCAACTGTAGAAGCGTTCCGGGGTAAAGGGACAGGACCTCAGCCTAGAAACTTCACAAAACAGCCCAAGCAAGGGGATGTCTCTGTACTCGATGGGCTATTTCCAATCACTTCCTTCACTTCTCACATGCTGCAGTTCAAGTTGCTCCGCTGTTCCCAGTGCTGTCCTTGTGAAGGGAACAAGCAAGAGGCTCTCTCAGTTCTTTTGCTCCATCTCCTGCCAAGCTTGGCACAGCACCCAGTGCAAAACTATAAAGGAGGTGGCATCTCTATCAGCGAGGAAAGAAGAGCTCTTTGCAAAGTGCTGAACTTGACCTAGACGCGTCCAGCTCCCAGCTACCTGTACAGTCAGTACTTGCTAAAAGGGGAATGGGCTGTACACAAGGGCACGCTCCACCAGGCAGCTGCAAGGCTTACCAAGGGCTTACCAAGCGAGTCCTTCGGTGGTTGTCTTGCTACCCTGTCTCCTCAGGGATTTGGTTTCAATATGCTGGTCTTATTTTGTGCTTTGTTCCAGTGGGTTCAGAGCCTGTGATCCCATCAGCCAGTTCCCCCCAGGAAACTGGCTCTTTTCCCTGAGCCTGCCAGGCCCACACACCTCCCTGAGCCTTCCTCCCGCTGCTCCTTGCCTCCTGCTGAGGGGCTGGGGGGTCCTGCCCAACGCTGCTCCCCCCTCCCCATTTCACCTGGCAACGCCACCAGCACCGGGTTACACACTGATTCATGCCGGTAAGTGGAAAAGAAGGAAACCACTTTAGAACCAAAAGGGACTAACAAAAAAACAAACAAACAAAAAGTTATAATTATAATGCAAAATTACCGACACAAACCCCCCCCTCCCACCCTTCCCATGACAAAAAGCCCAGGAATTAGACTTTCTTGGGACGGCGTCCAACTTGGTAATAATAATAAATGCTGATGAGGATGAAGAGGGCTCGGCTGACCAGGAGGAGCACAGCACCTGTGGCTATCCGGCTGCTCTCAACCAGGGAGACAGTGGTAACTGGAGGAGAAGGAGGGAAACAAGGCAGAGAGGTTGGTGATGAAACAACAAACGGAGACAAGTAGCACAAAGTTGTTTTCTACTGCCCTCTAATGCAGCGCAGGCTGACACGCACAGTGAACCCATGGCAGCGGCTCTTCACTCCCTCGATTCCACAGCGTTGAAGTCAGCCACAGCCCCACGATCCCCAGGGCTCTCACTCACACAAACCCCGCTCTAAAGGCAGCCCTGCTTTCAGGCAGCCCCAGCCCAGGCCGGTCACTCGAGCAGATGCGTGTTTCTGTTGTGCTCAGGTGTTAACTGTGGAAGCTGCACGTTCCTGAGTTTGCTTTGTGGCTGATAAACCTTTTCAACTTTAGAAGCATCTACAGAATACGCATAGTCCACACACATGCCTCTTTTCCGAGCATCTCTCTATTTTGGCTACCAACATAGCCCATATCTAAACCAGCTACCTTATAGCACAGTTAGTGAGCTACCAATACACACACACAAGAACCCCCTTCATTGTTAAATATAGATGAGCTCCCTAGAAACAAGCTGAACTGTTATCCTCTGTTTCGGTAGGACTGAACATCCCCCTTTTTAGTGTAGGTTGCTGCAGTCTTTTCTTGTTAGCCCCAGCGCCTAGGCAGCCCGCTTCAGGAGATGACTTGTGCTGCCTATGAAGGCCAGCATGCTTTTAGGGAAAAATAAATGAATTGTCAGAGGAAATGGTTTCCCCTGAACCTGAGCACCCTTTAGTGATCAGTCCAAGGCAGAGGCTACTCCATGGGGAAGGAAAAGGGAGAGCAGCTGGCAGAGAAGATTCTCCCGGGGCCAGGTTATCTTTGCCAGCCCTGCAGAGGAAAGGAGCCATCTCCAGCACAAACCAAGCACCGCACGGGGACAGCTGGGGATCGGGTGCCCCGTGGCTGTGCCAGACAGGCACCAGAGACAGCACCTTCCCATCAGCTGAGCCCACAATGACTCCCCGGGCCTCACCTCACGACTCCTTCAGCCTCACATTCGCTCCATCAGACCCAAAGGCACAGCTCCCATCTCGCATTCAGTCCCACCGCTCTCACCGGCTGTCCTGCTTGCCTCCACTTCTCCCTCCTCCCCGCCCGGTGGGGGTACGCAGTGTGTGCCCCCATCCTTGGCATCCTCCTCCCTACGGCCTGGTGCAGCTACTCACCCAGGAACTGCACGGCGAAGTAGCACGCCTCCGTCAGCAGGGTCCAGCGGATGATGACTTTTTCGGCCGTGTACAGGGCGTTCCACATGATGAGCGAGATGCCTGCGCGGGGGACAGCAGAACGCAGCTGCCCGAGGGGGGTCATGGGGAAGGGGCAGCCCATCCCCTGCTCCCCGCGGTGACTCATTTCGGGCTCTCACGGGAGGACGCATCCCGCGGGTGGGTGCTGCATTTCCAGACATTCCCACGAGGTGCTGCTGCAGGCTGCGGGAAGGAGCTGCCTGCCTTCAGCCGCCCACCCGCACAAAAAAAAACAGCACCAAAACCCAAACCCCATACTTTGCAAGCCCTTTGGTGCTGGGCAGCACCCTCTGAAGCGTGGCCCCCAAAATGGGCACCCAGAAGGTGCAGTCCCTGCAGCCTGGGAGAGCAGAGCTACGCCAGCCCCCTGCGTTTCATTGCTCGTTTTTCTTTTCCAAGACCATTTCTCCAGGTTCTACCTACCTCTTTGTCCTTTGCCCCCCACCTCTTGGGCCCCTTCCGGGGTGCCACCACCTGCCCCTTCTCTCCTCCCACTCCCACTAAGGGGTCTGGCAGCCCAGCACCCCATCTGCAATGCCTCTTTGCTGGGGCACCTGGGGTACTCCCCCAGGTATTCAGAGCATGCACAGCCCTTCTTACTCCACTTGCGGCGAGCCTGAGCCCCTACTAGGAAGAAGCAGCAGTAGCTGCGCTTCTCAAAATACCCCTAAACAATTTCTTTGCTAACAGCAGATGCTGTCTGGCAGGGCACAGGCTTTGCCCCCTCCTGCCATTTTGGCCTCCCACCTCCCCCGCTGACGGGGCAGCGGCACGCCCCGGGTCAGTGGCACGGCACTCACTGAGGAGGGCTCCTCCGTAGAGCCGGATGGGAGTCTTGCTGCTCACCGATTCCTCGTCGAAGATGGCATCGTAGAGCTGGTCGGGGAAAGCGAGGGCCTGGCAGAGGCAAGGCAGAGACTCAGCAGCCCACACTGGCCAGGGCCATCAAAACGTGCCTGCTCAGGGAGCAAGCACTCCGACATGAAGCCTTCATGGGATGAGAGTGGTTGGCCAGGAAATTGGAAATTAAGAAGGCACAAGAAATATCAGCGTGTCAGCTACTGGCTTCACGGCTGGTTTCTACAGCCAAGGCTGCCACGCTGTGTGTGGTGTATGACCCTGCTAATGAAAACGGACTCTGGTGATGGGAACAAACCACCAAGGGCACTGCTGGCAAAGCCTGTTACTGAGAGACAGTGAGGGCAAAGAGAAAGCGGGGAAACTGCTGGAGGCAGAGGAGGGGGATAAATGCTGGGGCCGAGGAGCTGTGCTGGGGCTCCCCTCTGGCAGCTGGGAGCTGGCGGTGCCCAGGATCATGTCCCCCACTTACCATGATGGCGACCCCGGAAAACATGACGGCGGAAACCAGCTGCCAGACCCTGCGTGAGAGGGGAGACAAAGGACCAGCGTGAGCAAAGTGGCAATTGATCCCATCACTCATACTTCATAAAGATTTCCTGGCTTCCTGCTTGGTCATCAGCCTTCATCCTCCCTCCTTGCACAACCAAGGCAGCCACAAGCCTCCTGTGGGAAGCCTTGGCTCCCCACACCCCGCTAGCTCCAGCTTCAGCATGCAGACTGGCCTCGCTGGTGAGACACAGCCAAAATCCCCCTCGCCCAAGCAGAGGAGAGAAGTTACCTTGCCAAGAGGATGGCACAGGGGGACAGCCCCGCAGGACGCACCACCCTGTCACATGTGAGACCAGGAGCTCCTCCAGTCCCACGCGGCCCCTGTGGCTCCCACCACCTGCTGTGGAACAAGAGCCTGAGGGGCTCAGGCTGATTTATGGGGGAAGAAAGCAGAGCTGGTCTGATCCCGTGGCCCCCGAGAAGCCCCTGCAGGGAGCAGTGATGCTGGCGCAGCAACCAGAGCTGTCAACTGTTGTGGCCGAGGGCTCTCAAACAACCCAGCTCCAAGGTGACACAATATCTTACCTGAGCCCCAGTGGTTCCCGGACAGCAAACTTGATTTCATTTCCCAGTACTTGGCTAATCTGAAATTCAAATAAAAGACACAAGGTGACGGAGCTGACCCTTCCCCAGCCTTTAGGCAGTATTTACCAGCCCAAAATCACGTACTTAACCCCACTGTGGGAGTTTATCTCTAAGAGGGCTGAAAGGAGGATGAGGATGAGGGATTCATCCCTTAACCTGCTGAAGGCTTTCCATCAGGAGCTGCAGCCTCTACTGCTCCCTTACTGGGATCAGCCTGCAGTGTGGGGCTGGGGCAAGGTTAACATTGACTCTTGTCTCCTCTTACCTATGTAAGTAGGGAAACGTCTCCTCCCACACACCTCCTGCATGTCCTCTCACATCCTGCTGGAGCACAGGCTCCAGCAGAGCCCTCGGGACATCACAGCATCTGTCCTGCTCTTGTCCCACCCTGGCATTCGCACTGCCTGGAGTGATGCCTGGCCATGACTACCCCAAACCACACAGACGGGAAAGCTACACAGGGTAGCAACAGGGAAAGGTACCAGGGGAGCTTTTGGTTGCAGAGAGCTCTTGGACAGCTCTGTGCTAGTCCCCACATGCGGGCAGAAGCCAGACAATACCCTGCCAGCAAGTTCTCCAGAGAGCATCCAGGACAGGGCTCCTGCAGGAGTCACCCTTGTCCTCCAGCTCAGGTATTTTGTTGAAATGGAGTGTTTGTTTGCAACTCAGGCCTCTTCTGAGAGGCACCACTTAAATTGCTGCTCCAGTGTCCAGGCCACCAGCTGGTAGGCACTGGTGGTGCCACGGTCCTATGGCACCAGCTCCATGCGTGTCTCAGCAATACAATTTCAGAAATGGATTAAAGCAGCTTGAGGGCAGAGCTCTCCCCATTACCATGAAAAGCCATTTTGGACGGCTCCCGTGCACCCAGAAGGCTGCATGGCCCATCGCTGCTCAAAGGTGGCATTGCTGGTGCCACCACAGCCTTTGCCCCTCCCTTTACAGAAGCCCCATGGACCTGGGAGTCCCGTTTTTCCCAAAGAGGCTGAAGAAGCTAGGTGCTACAAAAACCCCCACACCACCTCACTTTGCCCAGGCAGAAGGTCTTTTCTCCATCATTACTGCACACGGGCTTCCCTCTCCCCCGCCCTCACCTTTGAGCGATGGACCTCGCCGTCGTCGTCCTCCCCGCCGACCCCCAGGATCTTGCGTGTCTTCAGCCTGCTCACCAGGTCGGTCTGGCTGTGCTTCTTCATCAGCGGCGGGGGCTGTTTTGCTGCCATGGTGATGGCCCTCCACCACCGAGCCCTCGGCTGCGAGGCGGCTCAAGGCGGGCGCGGGAAGCGGCTTCGCCGTCACATGAAATTTCACAAGGTTCGGGAGCAAAAAAAAACCAAACAAAACGAAACAAGAACTGCCACAAAAATCTTCCTGTTAGGCCAGCAGATGACTCCTCATCGTCCCAGGGCAGGGAGCCCTGGCAGCGGGGCTGGCCCCGGCTACAGGCTGCTCATCTCAGGGTGATCCCACCCTCACCGGGATCTGCAGAGGGGGGAAAGAAAAAAACATTAGAGCAGTGTGGCTTTAGCACAGGCATTTAGCTTTAAATGCTTTTGACCTACAAACCACAGCCTCTCATCCCAGCAGAGGCAATGCCTAATGGTACCTCTTTGTTGTTTCCCAGATTAGAGGAGTTAAATGCTTCCCAGACTAGGGGAATTAAAGTCATTAAGCATGCTTTGCCTTTTGTCTTTCCCTTCACCATTCATCACACCCTTCAGCTGCCATTTCAGGCCAAATACCACACAAGTCACATATTTATTTGTGTACCTCCCTCCAGATGCTTCACCCCCATGTTGTACCAGAACACACCAGCCCCTGAACAACAAGCCAGAGGCAGGATTTTCCTCGAGGATACGTTGCTTTCTGGGAAATGGAAGATGATGGCAACTACAAACTACAAATACTATCTGGGATAAGGACAAGACAAAGATAACTGACAGAAGCTACGGTGGGAGATAACTTCTGCCTTGGCATGGTGGTATAGAAGTGTCATTAGTCCCAAGAAATCACTCCATATCATCCTGCAATCATAAACCCTGGAAGCTCTTGGTTCAGCAAGCCTCTTCTTCCAATTTGTCTACGTTTCATCTTGGCTCAGCTGAACAGTTTTTCTGTTTGCCGCTTCACCCTCCCAGAGACTCACAGACGAATCCCCGCAGGCACCAGGAACAGCTAAGCAGGCCAAGCAAGAGCAGGGCTCGAGCACTGGCAGTCCCACACCCCAGCTGAGTGTTCCTGCGCCTGTCCCAGGATAGGAGAATTTATGCTTGTGTTTAAAGAGTTCATGAGTCTTCAGGGAGTAATGAAACGAGGTGCCATTTATTTTGGCATCATGCATGCAAGTGCTGCCCCACTGCCTTGCGAGGGATTTCCCTCTCATAGGGAAAACTCTTCCCTGTGGTTGCCCAGACAAGAGCGGACAGTCATGTCTGCGAGTGCCCAGCATCACTCTCTGTAAGGCGAAGTGAAGCAGTCTCACTGGGATAGTGCAGAGACTGAATCCCATGATCAAGGCTTTAATAAGACACTTTCAGCAGACCACAGGCAAAAATGCTTTTCAGAGAGCCAGTTCAGCTACTCAGGGCTTCGCAGGTGCTTCTTCTGGATTTGTAGTGGCTTTTGTTTGGTTGCAGATTTTTGTTCTTATTCCACTGAATAACTAAGCCCAGGTTCCTGGAAAGCCAGCGAGACAGATGCAGCAGCCAGGGTCTAGAAATATTTCAGAAGTGGGTCAAAGGAAAAAAACCACTCAGGGGGAAGGTGGAAGCTGCATACTCATGCCTACACTCAGAAACAAGGCAAGAAACTCAAAAGGTAATTGCCGGTAGAAAAGTTTGGAAGTTTTATCATGTCTGGAGTTTGCTGACCCGTACTGTCACAACAACTTGTGGGTACTCAAATCTAGATAATCCACACACAAAATCCACCCCAAAGCCAGAGTGATGTGTCAAAAACAAAAACTTGACCTCATTTTAATTTATTTTACTACAGTTTCTGCAGTCCTTTCCGCTCCTGGCAGAGCCAGACTCACAAGGTTGGATGTTGAGTTGTTTCCCACCAGAACTGCACTGCTGCTGACACCAGAGAAGACTTGTTGCTGTGGTATTTCTAGCCCGGCTTTTTCTGATCAAAGCTATCCAGCCCAATCCTAAAGCAGCATCTCTCTGCTGAGTGCTCCCCTCTCACACTGAGCCTTAGGACCACTCGGAGAGCATACCACATCCCTCAATCTGGCTCAACACAGCTCCTGGGACCTGGGGACAGCCCTAAGCAAAGGGCTGACGCACAGTGCCTGAGATGTGCCATGCTGTCAGGAGGACCCTCACCCCTGCAAAGGCACTGGGTACTTATTTGGCACCTCTTCTTCCTCTGTAGGTTTTGGTGGGGAGCAAAGCAAAGTGCTTCCACGAAGACTTGCTAGCTGAGGGAGTCTGGCAGAGGGCCTGAGAAGCAGCATCCTACTGGCCCTGGGCCACCAAAGCCCTCCCCAGGGATGAAGGACCTGATAACTGCTGGTCTTGATCAGACTTGAGGTGCTGTGTGTGCTGGCCACACCAGCCTGGCACCTCTGGATCCCTCTTGGTTTCTTGCCAGGGCAAGTCTGCTGCCCACACCTCCTGCTCTGTCCTCTTCATGGCAGAGGAAGAGAAGATGAGACAGGGAGGGGGAAAAAAAAAAAAAAAGAGAAAAAAGGAAAAAAAATTTTGACATTTTCCTATCTAGACAATCTCTCCTGAGGGCAAGAAGCAAAGGAGGGTGATGGGGGTTGAAGAGGTTCTCCATGACTCACTGATGAAGATGGGGATGAACAGCTCTGTGATTACAGAGGCAGTTTTGCAACTCCGACCACAAGGCTAAAAGACCAAAATCTGCCTTCATCAGTTGTCTCGCCAGTTGTTTTCAGGGCAGGAGTTGGTGGAAAATTTATCCGCATCATCATTAGCACGGCTCTCCCATGAAGAATTTCCACTAATTTGTGGTAAACCACTGGCCAACAGCTGGGACAACATAGGCCAGATACAAGTGCCAATAAAACAATCACTGAAGGCCATTCTGCTACATAAAACCCCACTCCCACCACACTAAGCACAGCTACGGCACAGCCCCGCGGCCAGTCCCACGTCTCATTATCCCTGTCTTCCAGAGAAAGAGCCAGTCTAATGAATACTGAATATTAATGAATATTGAGCTAACGAATGCATTAGTGCTAATTCAATGACATTTAGATAGAAGATGCCAAGGATTTGAAAATGTTATACTTACATTAATGTATCCTGACACACTGACAATTTAGAGGATGTTTTATATTAGCCCGTGCCTTTTCAAAGGGGAACCTCCACCTCCTCCTCCTCCTGCGATTCTTTTCTCCTTAATCCGTTTTCTGAGCATCCCAGGGGCTGCGCAGATCAGTCACCATAAACAGGCAATTCCTACTCCCCGACACAGCTCTCACTGATGGGGAGTGCCTATGTGCAGTTGAAAGAGGTTTGGGGTTTTTTTCCTCCAAAATCCTTTTTCTTTGCAGGTTTCTTTCTGTATCTGTTCCCTTGCTCAGCTGTTCAGCATACTGCACTCAATTTTGATAGCTACTGCTTCATGGTGCAAAGAAACCTCACTGGTGCCACGCTAATGATAGCTCAATCTCTCCCCACCTCCACAGCTCTTCCCCCAGCATCTCCTCTTCCCTCCCAGTGTCTGGAGAGAAGAGGAGCTCTGCGGCACAGGAGAGGGGAGACTCAACCGCGCACACAGTGATGCTGCAGCAGCCAGAGCTGTGTGCCCACTTGAGGGAGGTGCAGGGGGCTGCGAGAGGGGAACTGGACCCTCTTCCTGCAGGTACCTGTACTGGACTGACTGCCTACGGCTCTGGCAAGGTGCTGCTGAGCAGCGGATGGGTGCTATCCTGCCTACCAGAGAGGACACTGCTCTCCATGGGGACCCAGGGACGGGGCTGCTCCCCATTGCTTCATGGGACGTTGTTTCGCTGGCACTGCCATCCATGGTGCAGCCTTTTACCTGACAAAGTGGCGCTGCTCAAACTACAGAGGTGGCACTCCAGTACCTCTCATGCCAAGGGTTGGAGGGCACTTCCAGTCTGCAAGCAGAGGAAAAGAAAATGAACTAGAGTCAAGCCAGGATAGGAAGTGAAAGGTTTATACATTTAAGCTGGCCACAAGTTTGTTCAGCCCTATGATGTTCAGGACAGTGAAGGGATTCTTGCTATGCTGTCCGGCTCTGGTTTTAGATTTTCCAAGCCAATATGCCTGAGACAATATCTTCAGTCCACTTTGACTTGCTATGCTAAAGAGTCAACCCAAAGTGCAGTGGATGTGTATGTCCTTCCAACAGTCCAGCAGGGCACTTGCCAGGCCTAAGCATCTTTCATGGACCACAGGCTGAGAATCACTAGTAAATATGAAGCAGCAGCGCTGTCCCTTCACAATACCAGAGGTCCTCCAGGAGGGGAGGTCTCCAGCACTGCAGCAGCACGAGGGGGTCTGTGCATGAAAGGGGCACTCAGCATGGCAGCCACACCGTACCTGGCTCTCACCGCCAGGCCAATGCCCACAGCAATTCTCTTGCAAGACCCTGGCAGCCATAATGCATTTGTCCAGCTCTGCTGCTCTTTCTCCAGGCTCTGGTGGTCCTGTCTCTTTGCCAGTGAGGATAGTACTAAATACTCTGTGGCCTCATAACTACTCGGACACAGAGTCAGCAAGAAAGCCCAGGCTCTAACAATATGGGCAGAACAAAGAAGAGAGGCAGTGGATGCACAGGTCAGAGCAGTCATACAAGAGCAAGACCAGCCAGAAAGGGAAAGATAACTTTCCACATACTATTTTCAGTCATTTCTTCCCTCTTCTTGTCCCATGAGCCTCATGTTGTATCTCAAGTGTCTCACAGTCTCACCTTACTACAGCCCTGCACCTTCAGGACAGATGATATCTCCACCCTGGAAACACCAGCAGATTAAGGACAGGATCCACAAATGTACTAAGTACCCTGTCTCTTGCAAACTTTAGGCTGTTGCCTAATCAAGTGGGATCTAAGACTCCTTTCCCCCCCCCTCCCACATATGAAGGCTCAGTCTGCTCATTTTACATGCATAAAATCTCTTGGTAAACAGCCTCAGACACTTCAGGACTCTGAAATCCTGAGGGATGAGGCAAATCCCCTGTGTCTAACCTAATACCACACCTGAGAGACACAAAGCATCTTTGTGCATCCTATCCAAATGGCCAAATAACATTTTTCCCCAGGAAGCCCATGGTGGAGCAGACCCCAAGCCAAAACTCCCCCTGTCCCAGGTAACCTCCAAGGTACAGCTGTATTCCAGCAATGTGCGCTTGCAGCCCGGAAAGCCAATCGTGTCCTGGGCTGCATCCAGAGCAGTAGGGCGAGGGGGGGGGGGATTCTCCCCCTCTCCTCCACTCTTGTGAGACCCTCCTGCAGTGCTGAGTCCAGTTCTGGGGGCACCAACATCAGAAGGACTCGGACCTGCTCAAGTGGGTCCAGAGGAGGCCACGAAGATACTCGAGGGGCTGAAGCACCCCCTGTGAGGACAGGCTGAGAGTTGGGGGGGTTCAGCTGGAGAAGAGAAGGCTCTGGGGAGACCTTAGAGTGGCCTCCCAGGACTGAAAGGGGCTGCAGGAAAGGGAGGAGGGACTCTTGATCAGGGAGTGTAGGGATAGGATTGAGGGGAAATGGTTTTAAACTGAAAGAGGGAAGATTTAGATTAGATGCATGAAAGAAATTCTTTACTATGGGGATGGTGAGGCCCTGGCACAGGTTTCCCAGAGAAGCTGTGGCTGCCCCCTCCCTGGCAGGGTTCAAGGCCAGGTCGGACGGGGCTGTGAGCAACCTGGGATAGTTGATGTCCCTTCATCTAGGGAGTTGGACTAGATGAGTTCTAGGCAGTTGGACTAGATGATCTTTAAAAGTCCCTTCCAACCCAAACTATTCTATGATTCACGCTGCATTTCTGCAGCTGCACATCTCAAACCCGTGGTGACAGAACCAGATCCCTGCCAGGATTTCTACCCAGAACAGAGATCTAGATGATTAAGACCTCTCTGCCACCAGCCAGCTGAAGCAGTCCATCACTATCCCCGTCTCCCAGTGGATTTCTTCCATGCCAGCTGCAGCACACAGCTTTGCATGCTTGGGGCTACCAACACATCTTAAAACAACGACAGATTAACTGGCATTTTTTTGCTGGGAGGAATATATTGTGACCCATGCCCTTGATGAGGGGTGTAGGTTCTCCATCCTAGAGAAGAGAAACTCTCCCAAAGCAGTTTCTGCAGTTCAGGAAGCCTCAGAGACCTGCAGGGAATGAAACTTGATCAAGCCAAAAATAACCTGATGCTCAGGCAGTAAAAACAATTAGCACTCAGCCACCACGGCAGCATAACGTGGCTGCTGCTCCCGCTCAGTCTGGCACAGTCCGTACCCCTAAGTAACAGGGATACTTCAGATTTCTCACCTGTAACAAGCAGGTACACGGGACTCCCTTCCCACATAAACACCATCCCTTTCAGTACAGAAGGCTCTTTGCAACACCGGTAGGAAACATCTCTTGCCAGAGGTTCATTCCCAACTCTGGCACAGCCCTGCTGCTTCCTTAAACAACTCCAACAGGCACAGGGATGCTGTGTCATCACTAGGGAAAACCTACTAACCTAGACAGTAGATTTCCTGCCCCTACACACGATTGGAAATACAAAGCAAAAATCCCTAGGTGAAAAGGCATCTTCACTGCCATGCATCCAGGTCATCTCCTACGGACAAGCCAGTGAGAACTTCCAAACCAAACAACCTGTGATGCACCAAGAGTCTTCTCAGGCACATCCAAAGCTCAGCCTGCAGGTCAGACCTGCCCCACGGCCAGATGTGGCCAGATGCCCTCCAACGCTATTTGTGAGCAGTGCAGAGCTGGCCCCAGAGCCACCACGTGCAAGGTGGTGACACTCCGTGCCTAACGCGGCCCCAGCAACCACCAACGCCATGGATGCAGCCAGGCCAGCATCACCACTCAGCAGGGGACAACCCACTGGGGAGGCAAGAGTTAATTTGTGTTACTTAGGCCCCGTTCCCACAAAAAAGGCCGCTCAAAGCCTGCTCAGCCTTTCCCACACATCTCGAACTCTCCCCTCCTGCTCTCCCCGGGGCAGCCCCAGCCCCTGCACCCTCCTGCTATGGCTCTTCTCCTGCAGCCCCCAGGCACTGCGGCTCCTGCCTGCAAGCTCCCTCGGGGCCATAAAAATACCCCTCCCCAAGAAACACCATGACTGGGGCCAAGCCACACAGTCTGGGCGGTATGGTCCAGTTCGAGGATTTTATTGCTCATGGGTTTCAAATTTCCTTTTGCAGGGAGCACAGGAAAGTTTCTTTCCGTGTCACAGGACATGTTATATAGCAATCAAAAGCTATATACTATCCAGCTTTCTCAAGCAGCCCGTCCCTAGCTGCTGAGGAGTGTTTTGGCTGCAAATACAAAGGATGCAAGGTACAATCTGCTGCTTCAGTGGCTTCCATCTGTATTACTTACATGTGTGTCCATCCCCTCCATCATCCTCATCCCCACCACAGAGGCTCTCAGCCTGGCCAACCAAAGCAATCCCTCACCCCAAAGCTGCCCTCACTCTTGGCCAGTGGCTCGGCCAGCACCTAGCCACTGAGCATTCAAGCTTCCCAGGGAGCTGGGAGGGTGGAGAGACAGAAGGAAATAAGATGTATTGTGATCGGGTGCTGTTTTTCTTTAAGGGCATTAAAAGAGAAGAATTCCTCTTTGATTTCCCAGCTGCCTTGGACAGGTGTTTGTGGGAGACAGTCCCAGAAGCTTAGCGGGCCATCTGTCCTGCAGATGATTTCTACAGGAAAACATTAGAAGGAAAAATAAAACCGATACACACACACACACAAATAAAAAACATACCAAAAAATTAGTAATTCAACCCTTGCTACTGAAAAAGAGCAACTTTAAAAAGCCAGGAGAGCCCTGCAACCAAATATGGTAATGAAGGTTGGTTTTACAGAAAATCTGATGCAACTGGGTATTTCATCTCCTTTGCCTCACACCTGAGGAATGACAGAGGCTCAAAGAAGCTAAGGAGAGTGAGCCTGGGACCAGGGAGAAGCCCAGACATATGCTGCTTACCTACAGCACCACTGAATACTGGATCTTCACAGTACAATGGGGCTTCTTGTCACTTCTTACCCCGACCACCTCAAATTTCCCCAGATTTTCTTTTCACTGTGCCCCCAAGCACTTGACAATTCCCACTCACAAACCCTCCAGGAAGCCAGTGCCCTTTATTCCCAACAATCCTCTAGCTCTGTCCCTTTCCAGAACTCAAAAATGGAACTGTAAGAAATTACAATCTGGGAGATCTGGCCCCCTCAGCCGCACATGAGCACAATGTCCCTCTGTATACCATCACTGAGATGGATCCTGCCCCAAAAGAGGATGAACTGCATCTTCAGCAACATTATTTATCTGCAGCCCAGTAACTTACCCAGCACAATGCAACTACTGCAATTTATAAACTATCAACACGTCCACGATCATGAAATAGAAGAACAAATAAGGCTGTGCCACTCCGGCACCCCAAAAGCAGGTTCCTGACCTGTTTCATGGGTGGATTTGCAACCCCAGCCTGAGAACAGCTGCTGCAGGATGCCCCAGCACCATCACACTTTTTTCCTCCATTTTTGTAGAAAACAAAGGGTTCCTCTTCTCCCATAGTCTGTCATGATATGACCAGATGTGCAGTCTAGGCACACACAAAGGGGGGGAAAAAGGGCAGACGAATAAATTTGCATTAAGCAGGGAGATTGTCTTTTGGTCTAGCCAGGACATTTCCTGAGTCCCAGGCATACAGGCACCCACAGGACTCGTGCCTCTCATTGTGCAAGCAACAATATTTGCTTCTACGACAGAGAAGTCCTGTAAATCAGTCCTGATATGAAATGGCCCAAGAGACCATCAGTTAACAGCTGAATTGTCACCAATCCTGTGTTACAGAGCATGTCGGATATTACATGGCCACATCCACATCCTGTAAGAGCATATTATTTATATAAATATACATAATTTAT